GCACCTCCATATAAGCTCATAGGTATCATAGCGCGACTAAATAGTTGTGCGATAGTTTAGTCGAAATTGTGTGCGCGATATTAAATAACTCGAGAAAATTCAATCATAAATTTCGCCACTACAAAGGTTGTAGCAAAATGTAGTTTGCAAAACAAACAATGTTAAGAATCTCAGGTAACACAGGTAACCTTTATGGGTTACTTTATTCACATTGTAAAAAAAACATCCATATCTATTTTGTAGAAAGAACTAACGACCGTAAAAAATAATGTTCGATTCATAAATTAGGTGGAAGAAATTAAAGATATAGGTACTATTCATTCGCAAAAAAACACTTTAATAAATTAGTTATGTAGGCAAATATGCAAATTTAACGACCATCGACAATGGCCTAGACGATTGTGTTAAAGTAATAACACTTGTACCCATAAACAATATCTCACATTTTTACCATTAAGCGACAAAAATAGTAGGACGTTCACCCGTGTTCATGGCTTAAATAGACAATGAAGTATATTTAACTAGCTTTCGCCCGCGACTCTGTCCGCGTGGAATTAAAAAAAACAAAAGTGAGTAGCCTATGTGTTCTTCCTGACTATCCTCTACATCTAGACCAAATTTCATCAAAATCCGTTCAGCCGTTTAGGCTACAAACTCTAACAAACATCCATCCATATAAACTTTCGCATTTATAATATTAGTATGAAGTATCAGTGCTAGCTGTCGCCCGCGTTTACGTCGACGGAATTAAAAAAATAACTGAATAGACTTCATGAATAGATCACACTTATCAAGATTAATTAAGCTGTTTCGGACTTATACCCTCGAACATTTATCCATCCATTTAAACTCTAGCATTTATCTATGACTAAGATATTATAAATAGTTTCAGCTGTTCGCTGATACTAACCAGATTGTTAGACAGGAAGAATTTGTGCAGGTTATAAATACATACACCTATTTATTTGCACTATACAACGACGTAAATAGGCATTTCATGAAAGGTAACGTACTCTGTAGCACTAGATGTTGCTCGCGACTTCTGCGTGAAAAAAAAAATAAAAAATGTAGTCTATGTTACTCACAGATAAATTACCTTTATAATGATTAAAGAATAATTGAATTTGGCAAAGTAGTTTTTACGTGAACAAAATACAATAAACACAAATCTTTCCTCTTTATAATATTAGTAGATTACTGTGGGGTTTTGTATTTATGTTATGTTTTTTTACAAATGCGTCAATGGAAACCGAACAGTCAGTGTGCAGTGTAATTCAATGTGTGACGTGGTCGTCGCATCGCGTTGCACCCGGCAGTGATGGTCTAATATCTGTGAGGCCGTGACACAAAATAGTTTCCGATTACCCAACACTGCTCTATTTTGTCACTCAATATTTACATGTGTGTTCTTTAAATTTATTGATCAGATTTGTAAGACGTTACAGACTCTATGTAAGTAAAAAAAAATAATCACGTTTTGGAAAGAAAGGGATATCAAAATTGAATAAAATATTGGTACGACTTCAGCGATCGCGCGGAATTAAAAAAATATAGCTTGTGTTACTCAGTGATATTATACCCTCCTAATGGTGAAATCGGCGCAGTAGTTTTAGAGTTAATATATTACTTGCAAATGAATCTTTCCTCTTCATGATATTAGTATAGATATAAAACAAGATAATAAAGTAGGGACAGGATAAACAAAATTAAAAAGTCAATAGTTTTTTGACGTCACGTCTTTAGTTGGAACTATGAGACTTATCTCTAACTAATTCTGGTTATATAAAGAATAGTTTTTACCTTTTTCCTTTAGCTTGGTATTTTTCCTGTTAATAATTAAAAGTTGTCGAATGGACATCCCGTGATATGTAATATTTCTGACACCCCTTTTTTAAAACAATGCGCGGTTTTCTTATATATTACCAAAAAAAGGCAGTTATATAAAACTATATAAAAACACACGACGTGAAATTAATAAAAAAAAAACTGGAGTATCTATATCACAGGCGAAAACATAACATTTATATCGCGGACTAGATAAGGCGGTCGATACCGACAGTCTGAAACCGAGTATTCCCTCTGGTCTATGAAATGGGTTGTAGTTCTATACTACTATTATAAAGAGGAGTGATTTGTATTTTTTTATATATTGGAATAACTCAAAAACTACTGGGCCGATTTTAAAAATTCTTTCACCGTTAGAAAGGTAATTTACCTGTGAGTCAGATAGGCCACATTTTTTATTATTTTTAATGTCACGCGGACGACGTCGCAAGCAACGCTAATACTTAATATCACGATTCACTTGTTTTTAGATGAGCCGTTATTCAGTGATCCCCAGTTTGTAACACACGAGTCGTGTTCTACCGCCGCGTGAAAAACTAACGACATACAGTGATGTTACACGGGTCAAGAATGACGGACGTTCATGGTCTGGAGACTGTTTGTGTTTCGTGTGTACTTTACCCGTTCAGTGTGTATATAAACAAACATTGAAAGGACATCATGACCGCATTTCTACTGTAATCATTAGTTTGATAACGAAAAGAAAAATAGTAAATATCTGGAACAAAATTTGGTGAGTAACAGTATTCTGTAGTTTCATCTTTCATAAGGATGGTTTTATATGAAATATATTTGATCATTAAAATAAAAATGTACATCGCATTATTTAACTCCGCTTCCTTCTAATGAAGCTAATCTTTGTGTTTAATTAGATAAAATAACAGATGTATTACGGTAAAATGAATTTATTTAGTACATTAGTGCCAGTTTTCATGTAAAGTATTATGTTTTCAGTGTGATATCGTTTTTTATCTTCACAATTTTATCTCCCCTCATCATGATAAAAGAGGTTCAGAACGGATTCTAAAGTCTATAGGGTGAATGCTTTTTATCAAATGTGAAACCTGAAAAGAGGCACTGAACACGTACTGTGATAACCACTATGAATTATATCTTTTGCCCGCGACTCCGTCCGCGTGGAATTAAAAACAAAAACTTTCATACTATGTTCTATATCTATGCGAAATTTCATCCAGATCCGTTCAACCGTTTAGGCTACAAACTCTAACAAACATCCATCCATCTAAACTTTGGCATTTATGATATTAGTATGAATATTTCAGTGCCGTTCAGGAATGTCCCGTCATCTTTTCCTTGTCAATTCATCATGAAGCCAAATAATTTTTGTTTTCCAGTTTATCTCCTTACATTGTAAGTGTAAAACCAATAATTCGCTTCTGCTTACAGTTCCTAATGAACGTAGTTCGTGTAAAACCATATCGCAATGAACAATGTGAATTCCATTTGCTAGACATAATAATGTATGCTGGTCATACAACCTGTGATATGAGACTGTCTTTATGAAAACATTTACCATTTCAAACAAAAATGCAGACATTTAAGTATAGGATAACCGACAATCGAATAAGTAAAAGAATCTGTAAATAAAAAATACATTTTCTATTAGCACGTTAAATTATTTAAAACTTATGCTAACGATATATTATTAATAACAATTAAAAGTTGTAAATTATAGTTATTCGCGTATATAAAAAATTGTCCTTGATCCTAATAAAAGTGTCAGCACCCGATAATTGGTAACAAGATATGTATTAAACATCGTCATTGTGTTCAGTCATTTATGTTTACGTCTATGCCTCGACCTGGCTATTCTATTACCGGCACTCCTTACGCCGTCCACATTGTTTAGTGTAATGGATTGAAAGTGTACAATATTCTTTCATTTTCAATTATCTAAATGGTGTACGTAAGGAATTTAAACTTCATACCTAACTGCAGGCCTAGAAAAATTGCGAGAAAATAGTAACATCACTGATAAAATTAGCATCTTTGCACAGCGCCTCTATCGGCCGTATAGTACACCGATAAATCTAATACAAATATAGTTTAAACACTAGCAAATTTTCGTGCTAGGGCCCCTGTAAATAAAATGCTGCGTTAAATGGAATTATCTGTCATCCTACTTCACGAAGCGTAAAAATAATAATTCTAATCTATTACCAAGAAAATTAGAAAAAGACCCAAAAGTAAGTACCATTATCGTGATATCAGAAATCTCCATTAATAACTCAAATTGCCGCTATCATTATGATTGATGATAAATACCATAACATCGGATTAGAAAAAATCCCACGCGAATAATCAAGTTAGTACATCTATTTTCCGCGTTGTAAATCCTAGTAATTTTATTGTCTATATTAATATTAAAAAGAGGTAACATTTGTATCATTGTATGTATTGAAATAACTCAAAAACTACTAGGTCTTGGGTCTTTTACCTTCAGAAAAGTAATTTATCTGTGACTAACATAGGCTATATTTTTAAATTTCACACGGACGAAGTCGCAAACCACAGCTAGTTATTTATAAAAGTAATCGAAGTATTTTCAGTTGTGGTGAGTTCCACACGGTAGTATCATGTCCGTATCCTTTTTCTAAGAAGGGTTTACGAAAGTTTTTATAGAAGTAATCAATTTGAATCAATGTAATTGTTGGTAATTAAAAGTTTTTTTCCGTATTCGAAAATCATACTCACGACAAGAATACATAACGAGAATAAACAATTTAAAAGTCATGAAAGCTTTAAAATAAAATGTTATTTCTATGTTAATACTATAAAATAAGGGTTATTTCATCTCTTAGCGTTTTTATTAATTATTGTAAAAAATCGAATGATAGTCGATTTAAAAAATGATAAAAACTCAAATAGACAAAGTAACGAAAACCGATATAACATATCCCGAATACATATGTAAGATTGTCAAAACATTATTGTTATCAACAAATCATAATTTGCAAATTACTAGACTTAAAAAAATATCAATATAAACATTTAATATTTGTGATAACGGTCTAAGCATATTCATTTTTATACTAATCGTTTATATATAAACCAAGTCATTGTTATCTATCATTTCTTAATTGTACACCAGTGAAGTATTACGAAGTGATATTAACTATTCCAAATATGAGACCTGAAAACAGATGTGAGTACTGTCATCAATGAAAATTACACACACTAAAAATAAATAACTATGGGACAGAACATAGAACAAAATATACGACTAAGCTATTTCCTTTCGTTAAATAAATCTTATCAGAGAGAGAGGCAGTAATTCGAATTTTCTAATATATATGTGATTCTAACTGTATCCGCTCAGTATATACATATAATAAAACTAACTGTTCCCGTGCGACATCATCTGCATGAAATTATGCAAATTTTATTTTATTATTTACATGTGTCAAATTATCAATTGCAAATGTCAAAATGACATGACATGACAAACCATGGCAACCTTGCTTCCTTGATGTTAGCAATAACTTATGGTCTCTTTCCCACATTAGAGTTTTTATCCAAAATATTTACCCCTTAAGTTTAACGGCGGAAAATATATAGCCTAAAGCGTGACGCAAGTGTAAGGCTTTTTATTAAAAAAAGAATTATTCGAAAATATGCTGTGATTGCTGACATCTTAGGCAACAAAGAAGTGTGTGTTTACGCTTTATTATAATAGTATAGAAGTATATATTGGAGTATCTGTTTGTAATGATGATGTATTTGCGATGCTGATAACGAAAAATGGATTTAAAATTGTTTTGTCTGTCAGGCTGTCCGCTAGCTACTCTTGTTCCGAGTAATCTCCGAAACGGCAAGGATTTCGACTCAACTTTCACTGGAGGGTAGCTGACATGGATAGGCATATTATAGGCTACTTTATTTAATTCCGCGCTATCAAAATGGCGTAAAGGGTGGTCCAAATTTGCGCTAACGAAGTTTGCGGGCGTTCGTCTGTACTAATATTATAAAGAGGAAATATTTGTTTTTTTTTGTATATGTATTGTAATATGTTAAAAACTACTGGGCCGATTTCAAAATTTCTTTTACCTTTAAAAAGCTACGTTATCAGTGAGTAACTGGCTATATTTTGTACCATTTTTTAAATCCACGTGAACGAAGTCGCGAGCAACAGCTAGCTATTTGTTTTAATACAGGTACGTCGAGTGACTCACAATATAGTTTGCTTTTTGTAGGAATAGCAAATATTGAACGAATTAAATTGACAGTTTGAAAAGGAGCATCGCAATGTTCCGAAAAACTATCCTAAATACATTTCACTAGTAACTAGTCTAATTATCTTTTTTTTTTATCGAGCGTACTTATATTCTATTGTGTAACTACGGAATACTATTGTAGTATTATGTCGTTATCACATAAGCTTCCTGCACACAATGTATGTTAGTATTAATGATAACGATAGTCATAGAATAGACTATAAAATAATATCAATATTGACGTTTCACAAGGTAGTTTCCTTCCGTACACCACGGGTGGATTACAAGGTGCTACTCACGATTGGGTCATTTATCTCTTTCTCTTCCTAACGCGTATTCACATATGATGATGGGTTCTGATTTTCCAATTGTGTATCATGTGCCTTAAATTATACAAATGCTTCCAAATCTTTGTTTTAATAAGATAAATAGATTTTCTCTAGCCTTTGCGGTGTATGGTTTACGATAATGGTCGAATTCGAGTCCTCGATTACGTAATTGGAAATCCGTTCCCTTAACCATTGGGCTATTGGCGCTATTCGATTATTGCAAAATGAAATAACAATAAAAAAGATACGTTAATATTATGAGTGTTTTTTTTTAATTGTATGTTTTCGTTGCAGTAGCTCTAAGAATGAAGAAACCAACCTCATGCTTTGTAAGCTTGTACAAGGCTGTCACAACATCAGCGCTGATCATGGCCATTGTCATATTTATATTTTACTACAATATGCTTAATTTATTAAATTTGAATGCGATTGAAAAGCCGATGTTTGAAGAAAAATTAAAAATCCGTATTTACAATGGTACGTTCTTCTTTACATCACAATTATATTTACTATCATTATAACATTAGAGAAACAGCAATAACACTTCAATTTATAGCTTTAATTAGCCTTCGCCCGCGACTACGTCCACGCGGAATTCAGTAAAGAAACCAAAAGTAAGTAGCCTATGTTTTTTCGGATTATGCTCGACATCTATGCCAAATTTCATCGAGATCCGTTCAGCAGTTTTGACTACAAACTAACAAACATCCATCCATACATCTAAATTTTCGCATTTATAATATTAGTAAGAAATAAGATTACATTACGCTTACAATTAATTAATTTTAATTATTGAAAAATTTCGTAAATCTACTACGTCGTAGCATAGCTTGCGTAGCGGCTCGTAGCCATGGTATTTACATACTTTGTAAAAAAAGGTAATAAGACTGCGTTATATTTTTTTTATATTTATATTTCAGATACAGACGATTATATTATAGATACGGCAGGATGTGTGATACCAAATTTCTCAAAAACATTGAAATTTAATGAAGCTACGTATAAAAAGAAAACTTGTGAAGATCGTGGTGTATTCGCAAATAAAATAGCTTACAATAAAATCAGATTCGATATACAAAATAACACGATGAAGAGATACAGTAAAGGAAAATCTTTCAATTGTTGTTACAAATTTGCTCATAGATCTACCGAGCCAGGGAAGGAAGACACTGAAATTATGTAAGACCAAATACTGTATTTCTAGATTTAAAAAAAACTGAAGCGAATCCTTTAGGTGTATTTCGTCGCCAGAAATGAATGACTTTGCACTAACTCTTTTTCGACGTTCTTATATAAAAAGTTTTGTTTTTAATTCTTTTTTCTTTGCAGATATTCAACGTGCAAAGCATTTACAAATGGAGCAACAATAAACTTGGAGCAAGAAATTTTAACTGTAACATGTACAATTGGTTCAGGAGCAAAAAAAACTGTCATCTACGAAGATGCGTATCTTTTACTTAAGAAATTAAATACATTTGACAAAATAAGCAAAAGCAAAGAAAATACTTGGAATGTGTTGATAGTTGGTATGGACACAATGTCACGTGCAAGAGTGTACGCCACCATGCCTCAAACGGTTGCTCACTTGCATAAGCAAAAGTGGTTGGATTTCAGGGGGTATCAAAAGGTAAACAAAAACTTTCGCATTTTGTTAGTCGTTTCATTATAGAAGACAAAAGCCATCAAAGACATCAGTATATTGACCTAACTAATCGGCTGATTATCAACGTCGATTTTTCATGATGATAATATACGACGACAAACTCAGTTTGTAAACTTTATCTATTATACCCTTATTGTTTGAGAAAATATTTAATAACCATCCCCAATAAACTTTCACGTCACACAAAACAAATATTTTGAAATTTTCTTAATAATTTTCTTAAATTCTTCAAGTATAAATTAGTAAAATCCGAATACGCGTAATAGGCTTTAATATTTTTTCAGGTCGGCTTTAACACATTTCCAAATATAATGGCCGTTTTAACTGGGAAAAAAATGTCTTCAGTGTACAAGGCTTGTGCAAAAGGGATGACATACTGCAATGACTTAATGATGTGGCATAAATTCGAAGAAGCAGGCTACGTCACGGCTTACGGTGAAGAATACTTAAGACTACCCGATACTTTTTCACGGTATAAAGGTTTTAATGTACCACCGACACACCACTATACGCGGCCATTTTTTTTAACCGGAGAGGAGAAAGTCGGGAATTATATTTGCACCGGAAGACAACCTTCGGCGGTACATTTATTAGATTACGCTTTAGACTTTGTAAATACATATGCCGATGTTAATTTTTTTGGCATGTTTTGGCTTAATTCTTTCAGTCATAATTTTGACAACATGCCAGCACTTCTTGATAAGGATATGGTGCACTTTTTTGATAGACTTGAGCAGAATAGCGCACTTAACAATACTTTCATTGTGTTCTTAAGCGATCATGGAATAAGGTACGGTGATATGAGAATACCGATAGAGTCTTATTACGAAGAACGACTACCTATGTTCTTCATGCATGTTCCATATACATTCCAAGAATTATATTCTAATGAATACAATAATTTAAAAATTAATCAAGTTAGATTAACTACGCCGTACGATTTTCATTTGACTATGTCGAATATAGTTCAACTTTCCAAGGATACGGCTGAGATTACACCCTCAGAAGCGTGTTCAGGTTGTTCCAGTTTGTTTAACGAAAAACCGGTGAATAGGACTTGCGCCGACGCCGGTGTTACTGACAAATGGTGCAGCTGCCACAACCTAATTAAAGCAAACGAGAGCGACGAGTATGTGAAAAAGAGTCTAGACCTAGCCGTGTCCTTCATACAAAATATAACTCAGACAATAGAAACAGATTTTTGTATGCTATGCGCAAATTTAAAACTAAAAAAGGTTTTAAGACATCACTTTTATGTTGACGATGGAAAGACATTTTACGTAGTAGCATTTTTATTTGTACCGGGAGACGTAGCGTTCGAAGCGAATCTCATGAAAGATGGCAACGAAATAAGCATTGTAGGACCAATCGAAACTATATCGGCTTACAATACTAGAGGGAACTGTGTTAAGAATCCAAACGACAGATCATATTGCGTGTGTAAAAAAGATCAAGCGTGCAATAAAAAACATAAAAGATATATTCACTCTTTTATTTTGTCTTTTAACATATTCATCATAATACTAATAAAATTTATTCATTTACGACACTGTAAATGTCACTCCAAGTAATTTCATATATTAATACAATGGCAGAGATATTTATCATATAAAAAACCCAGGAACTGATCAACAAATAGTCTTTTTTGTCATTATTCTAATAAGTAAAAAAAATTACTATTGGATATACTTTGTACTATAAAGTGCTAAGAATTTTTTGTTGAATATTTTAAAGAAAGAGAGCATTAACTGCAAAGCTGTTTAGTTTTGACAGTTTTGACTGAACAATTCAACTATTCAGTCTATATTGGGTTTAATAAAATCTCAGAAAACTATTGGATTTAGAACATTTAAATGACAAGAGCAAAACCTAAATATATATTGAGTTGAGCAGTCAGTAGGAACATATCACAAATGCCTTCTTTTAATCCTTTAAAAATATATTATAATGTTTGTGCTAAACAAAAGTATATAAGAGGTAGACATTTTTATGGGAAGCACAACCTAAGAAATACTGGTATTAATTGGATATTGTTAATCATGCAAATTTCACCGAACAATGGGGTAGATGTCACTTTCCCATATTAATAAAAGCATTAGCTTAATTCAAATTAAAACATTCATTTTAGGGCTTACAAGTGTAAATATCCACAAATTTATATGAAATACATGTCATGTATAAAGAAGAAATATGAATTAAAAGTAAAAAAAACACTCTTCATCGACAATAATCGGTGTTCTTGAGATTTAATTATGAACACACCTAACTTATGTTGTCTTTTAACAAAATTTCATTAAATATTGTGCTGAAAACATTTAAGCTATAGTACTTTTACATTGTTTGGAGGAATGAGAAGTGCTGGGAAATATTAAAAACAGAACTAGCTGGACCATTGCGAGAACCATACCAATAAAATTTGGAACCTGAAATGTGAAAGGTCATTGTTGGTCATTACAATATAAAATTATAATACACAGAAATATAATTCTAATGACAAAAATCTTCAATTCTTCATGAATAGTTCTGAATGATCTATTAGGTGAGTAACATTTATGCTTAAATATAGTAAATAAAAAAATATTACCGCAACAAATAGGTCCTGGTCTATATAACCATAGAGATACCAAAATGCCGAAACAAATAGGGACATGAGTATCATTGGGAATGGTAAACACTCTGTGCTTTTTACTCTGATCACATGCAACAGTTTGCTCAAGGGTGCAGCCACTGTTACAATAGTAAAAGACGAGGCAAGGGACCCTGGAAATATTAAACATGCAACCACCACAAAAATATTTCATAATTCAATTTACATTATAATAAAATTATATCACATACCAAGTCTAATAACAAGATTTTCATTATCTTCTTCAACAGAAATATATCCTAATAATATAAGGAAGAAAATAATGGTAAAAGTACATTGTCTCAATACTGCGGATTTTTTAAATGTGTAAAAATAAAATATGACCGAATATGAGATCATTAACACGAGACCAATTGTATTGACCGTAACTATTTTATCGTTGCGTTTCGTCAATCCGTATAGCAACCAAATCCCACACCTGCATAATGAATATGTGTTAATTTCAGAAAAAATTATTTCATTAAATTTCTGGCATAGTAAAACTTACGATAAAACGCCGGCAATAAAAGGAAAGGAGGAAGCCTCTGCAGTAGTTTTATTAGCGACATACTGCTTGCAGACTAAGCTAAAAATGTAATTTAAATTGCCTTGCAGTCATTAAAAAATAAACATGGAATACTATACTGCAAAGACTACATACATGCCCGATAAAAATTGCAAAATAGTAGTTGCAACAGCTAAATACGCTATTGGCTCCTTTAAATCAAATAAATTCATTGTATTTTCATTTATAATATCACCCAATTCACTTATAAACTAATATAAGTCCAAACGAATTGCAAATTTGCAATAATTTGAAAATGGTAAACATCACCAGTATCTGACATTAAACAATGACGTCATGTCGTATCCTATGCTTGTCAATTTGGATACAGAACTCAAATATGCTGTGAAAACAATAATTCTTATGTTATCATGTTTGAATAAAAATTTTACTAAAGCTTAAATATAATCATTTGAAGACTTATAATTATAATATCAACATTAAGTGCAGTATTTATACTTAACCTTTATTTCCAAACTAGAAGATTTATGAAACGTTCGATGACTGTCAAACTACAATCCGTTAGTTGTCAGATTTCCACCTGCCATGTGTAAATGTCAATCATGTTATGTCACATCACATGTCACTGTCAGTGTCATAATCTGGTCAAAACGCAAAAACAAAAAGCAAAAACATTAATTTAACGTAACGCAGTTTTAATATAGCTTTTACATGTATAAATTTCGCTCTTAATGATATCCTTAAAGAGTCGGTAGATTTCATAATGAGAACGAAAAAGTTTAGATTAAGTTTACTCTTTAGTATCATAGCATTTCGCTAACGCGAACACTTTGTGTCCATTCGGGTTTTCTGTTGAATTTTTTTCTTTTTCAATTTGGTTGTAAAGTATTTGTAATCACAATGATTATATATTATCGTTGATTACATCATATGAAAAATATAAAAAAGCTTAGTTATGATTAAGTGAAAAGTTATAAACTCACACGGACCTCTTTATGCCTAAAACTTTCAAGTTATTTTGGTCCAGTTAGAGGAGAAGCACAAATTAAACATGAAATTCTTCAAGCTTATAGTCCACCAATCAAGTTTCAGCCGTAAGTTGGTTTTGGATTAAGAAAAATCATGTTTAGACTCAGTTATTCATTGTCAATAATTATTTACAGCTGAAGATCTGATAATTAATCTGAAAGATTACCCTGGTTTGAAAGAAAAGGATATTGTTGAAATATATCATCCTGAAAATGATTATCCCAGGTTACTCCTACAGGTGCCAAAGGTGGAAGCACCCAGTCGGGCAGTTAAAGGTAAGTTCTTGAAAAGGTACAGTTATGTGTGTTTGGCTAGATTCACAGTAAGACTGCCTTGTAACATTAGTCTGTAATATGTTTGTGAAGAGATAATTAAAACTTCCAGATACTATAAGTGTGGAACAAAGTATAGCAACAACATTTCAACTGAGAACATTTGCTGATGTTTATGTCAACATTGTTAATGTAGCTGATGTGGCATTAGATTCAGTGGAAGTTACGTTCAAAGATCAATATATGGGCAGATCAGAAATGTGGAGATTAAAAAATCATTTGGTGAGTATATTTAATGCAGCAAATAATAAACACCTTTGACCTATTCTGGTGGTATGAAAATAGTTACATATCACAAGACATTTAACTTTTTTCATTTAATGTCTAATTCAAATGAATAAACCTCTAATGCCTTTTAAAATAATGGTTAAGGGTTTGAAATCCCACCATTAGATTATTGTTTTCAACTATTTTGTAGCATAACCTAGAGCAATGGTACTAATGGTACAAGGAAAATTAATAGATTACCCAAAATTCGGTCATTTTATAAATCAATATCAATAGGATTAATATCTGTTTTACTTAAAGGTGAGCACATGTGTGTATTTGAATAAGAAAATAGAGTATTGCGGAGGAGCTATCAGATGTCAAGTTTATGAAATGTGGTCTCAAGGTGACCGTGTTGCGTGCGGCGTCATTACTGAAGATACAAAGATTGTATTTAGATCTTCAACATCTATGGTGTATTTGTTCATACAAATGTCATCTGAAATGTGGGACTTCGATATTCACGGAGACTTATACTTTGAAAAGGCTGTCAATGGCTTTCTGGCTGATCTTTTTGCAAAGTGGAAGGTATGTTTCTAATATATACTATCTCATTATTTAATTCCTTAAACTTCTAGATTCCAAGTTATGATAATTAATTTAATATTTTTAGGTTAATGTAGTTCTCAACTATAATGTTTATTAATTCACTTACTTTTTTTTAAAAATTGAATGTGGAATTGAAAAAAAAACATTAAGTAGCGAATGTGTTATTCCTGACTATGTTCTACATCTGCACCTAATTCTGTTAAGCCTTTTTACAGATATAGTAAACATCCATCCATCCAATTATCCAGACTTGTGATTGTATTATTACTAAGCAGTATGATATGATTCATGTTTAAATTATGATAATTTTATGTATTTTATTTATTCCATTGACCCTATCATATGCCAACTGCGACCCTTGAACCTCTGATAACAAAATTATTGTTCCACACATGTGTAGATACTCACAAAGTGTAATGAGTTGAAATAATTTAAATAATTCAATTAATCAATTGTTGCAGAAAAATGGCAGCAATCATGAAGTAACAATAGTTCTATTCTCTAGGACATTCTACAAAGCAAAATCGTTGGAAGAATTCCCACAACATATGAAAGAATGCTTACAGAAAGATTACAGAGGGAGATATTATGAAGATTTTTATAGGTTCTTAATTTTCTATTTATGTAACTTAAGTATTCTATGAAAAATGTATATTTATTGCATAATTTAGAGAAAATAGTGATCCTAAAGTTATTTCAATCTATACTAATGTAAAGAGGAAATATTCGTATTTTTGTATGTATTGAAATAACTAAAAAACTACTGGGTTGATTTCTAAAATTCTTTCACCATTAAAGCTATGTTATCAGTGAGTAACTTAGGCTATATTTTTTTGAAGCGGGTGAAGTCGCGAGCAATATTTAGTTATCATTGATATTAAAGAGTGTAAAATTATTTTATCAAAATTTAATTGAAAAAAAAAAACTATAACACTTCTTTTTTTCTATTTTCAGAGTGGCAGTACAAAATGAGAGATATGACGATTGGTCAAATGTATTGCTTCAGTTAAGAAGACTGTTTACGGACTATCAGAAGATAGTTCTCCAGTACCATGAGAGAGCCAATATGGAGATACCAACTGCCATCAATTCTACCGCTGCTCAGGGAAATTTCCTTGAAGTGTTGAATATGAGTTTGAATGGCAAGTTATATTTAGACTTATAGATACTAGCTGTCGCTTGTGACTTATTCCGCGTAGAAAATAATTAAATAATGGCCTGTGTTCATCCATTTTTTACGTCTATGTAAAATTCTAGCAATATCTGTTCTAGAGATACATAGCAACCAACATCCATCAATCCATCTAAATATTCGCAACATTCAAGATTCTCGCTTTGTGTCATTGTGACATCATTATCTATATCTATACATATAATAAAATTGGGGGGTCTGTAATATCAAAAGAAAAGGTACAGTGTTCGGGAAGATTATTCGCATTTAAACATTTCTTTGTCTGTCTGATCGTCTATCCGCAAACCGCGTATGTTCCGGGTAAACTCCGAAACGGTTGGGCAGATTTCGACCGGACTTTCACTGAAGGGTAGCTGACATAGATGGGCTTAGTATAGTCTGTTTTTTTATCTTAATATTTCATGGACGAAGTCGCGGACAACAGCTAAAATGCTGCGCTGTGCGTGAAATACTTACTTGTGTGCTTATTACGTTTTTATTGTATTTTTAGTGTTTGAGAAACATTACTTGGACAGATGTTTTGATCGTACTGGCCAATTAAGCGTAGTAATAACTCCTGGTGTAGGAGTATTCGAAGTAGACCGAGAATTGACTAATGTGACGAAACAAAGAATCATTGATAATGGGGTAGGCAGTGACTTGGTGTGTGTTGGCGAGCAACCTCTACATGCAGTGCCATTGTTGAAGTTTCACAACAAAGATAGCGGTGTAAACTCAATAGATGATTATTCAATGCCTCATTGGATTAATTTATCATTTTATTCGACTAATAAGAAAGTTGCTTACTCAAATTTTATACCGAGAATAAAGTTGCCCCCGAGGATGAGTCAAGAGCCGTTGAAAAAGATGTATGAAGATGAAGTGAAAGGAAAGTTGGTTAAAGAGGATGAATATATGCACAATTCTATATTTGATTATGATGCATATGATGCACAAATATTTCAGTTGCCGCCTGCACATAGTACATGGTAAGTTTTGTCTAATTTACAATGATTTACTCTTACTGAAATTCATAGGTTTAAGGTTTAAGAATATATTTATTTCCTTAATAAGAATTACAAAATTCACTTACTTAAGGAACTTATTTATCTAACATTTATATTATTATATAAGGCAAGCGTACACAAAAATATAACAAAACGTAGGTAGTAAAAAAAAAAAAAAATAAACTATTGAATACAAACAGGTAAGTACATGTGTAAAGTATTACTAGATGCGATATGAAATATTACATTTTAAATGTTTGTTGTAATTACTAAATTGTACCTTATAGTTATATTCATATTTTAAAATGTTTTCATACATACAGCACACATATACGTCTAGTTTTTTGAATTATTATATGTATACTTCATCACTTTAAATTATAGGTTTAACTGTGTCAGAAATTTATTTTGTATTCAAAACATGGAAAATATATATATATTTGTATGGATGATAACATTTGTAGTTTATTAAAGGTATCTTCTTCTACGCCTTCAATCACGGTTTCATGCTGCAATTAATGAAATTTTCTTTATAGAGTTGATCAATTAATTTTAATTGAGGATTTTGTCTTCAACCGACAGAGTTTTTTGTAGCAAAAAAAACTATAATGTGGTACCAACACACTAAAATGAAAATCTCACGTATTTTTCTTTGTTAGTTCTGAACTAGTGTTCAATAGATTTTTTAAATTAATTGTTGGTAACACAGTTTAGTGTTCGTTAGTTTTCACTAACGAATTCATCATCATCATCCAATTGTCCTTATCCATTACGGAGGGTCGGCACAGAACACTAACGAATTATTAAAATAATGGAATTTCAACATTTAAAAAAAAATTTTAACCATTCAAATTTTTTTTTCTGTCCACAGTGTTCAAAGAGTACATACGCGCACAAAGAAGACTTCAGTCGCCGGTCTTGATATAAATAGCCGTAAAAGTCCGCCGACGTCAGTTATACATCACAGGAAAATGTCTGACCCCGATATACATCACAGCCTCGGAGATATGCTGACTGGAGGAAGTATGTACTATTTAATTTATTTTTTGTAACTTACCTTACCTCAAAGTGATTGCCATACTGTACGGCATTTATTAATTCAATTGTTACTCATACCACTTTAGAAAAAATGCATAAAAATTGAAAAAAAAAAAAAACAAATCTCTAATTCTCCAGTGGTTGTCAGATGTAAAAAAAAATCGCTTACAATTCTGTATTCGAGCTTCAAACTTTACATTGTTGAATCATATAGACGGTGTGGTGTACAAAAAATTTCTGATGAATGGCTGGTTACTAAAAAAATCTAATAATCTATATATTTTTACAGATAAATATGGTGGTCTCGAATCTACAAGTGATACGACAGATTCTCCGAGTTCTATAAATCGTTTGTCACCGCGTAGTTCGATATCGTCCAACAAGCCTGTGATCCGCACCGGCCGCGCCCTCATCAACCCCTTCGACCCTTCACATGTTAAAGTTAAATTAACAAGTAATAGAAGGCGGTGGACTCATATCTTCCCAAAAGGTAATAATCTTTTTTTTGGTTCAAAAAAAAAATCATCTTTTTCTTAACTAACTTTTGCCCGCGACTCCGTCTGCGTGAATTTATAAAAAACAAAAGAAAGTGTGTTATTTCAGACTATGTTCTACATCCGTGTCAAACATCGATATACGTTTAGCCGTTTATGCTAAAAACACTAACAAACATCCATCCATCCAAACTTTTGCATTTATATTAGTAAGATTTGCGCATAAATTAAGTTATACTTGTAATTTTTTCTTGTTATATGTACTACTAGCATGTGTTTGCTACTGATAAATGTTAAATTTAAGCACTTTTTATGTTTCATAGGTCCAAAGGGTGTTCTAATCCAGCAACATCATTACCAAGCGCGGCCCGCCGGCGAGCCCGCCTCCAGAAATGACGACGACTGCTGTGAGAATGGCACCAAAGACAACGGACCCTCCATTCTTAATAATCACCCTGTATATCAAGTCGATGGTAAGATATTCAATACGAAACTAAGGTATTGGGTTCCATAGGTTTATTTTACTGTATTGCGGTTAAGGATTTTTGATGTATATATCTTGGAATTTAATACTAAGATTTTTGATTGTTCGTTTAAATTATAACTGTGTAATTGTATTGTATTGTTATAACTGTGTATTGTAAGAAATTGAAAATAATGTAAATTATTATTAAAATAAAAAAAAAAAACTAAATGACAGTAATCTTCAAATTGAAAGCGAGAGATGAAAACTAATTCAGTTGTTATATATCTCGATAGTTTAAATAAAAATGTTGATATAGGTAACATAATGAGTAGTCGTAAGCGCATGATTAGTGCGTCGGGCGCGCTCGGCGTGCTGGGCGCGAGCGTGCTGAGTGCGAGCGGGACGGGTATAGGCGCAGGTGTGTTGGGTGCGGGCGGGACGGGAATATCTACCACGCCCTCTACTACGAACAATGCGTCACTCGCACTACTGTGGGGAGCTACGGGAGAACAGGAATGGACTCCTGCGTTAACTACAGGTTAGTTTACTTATATAAATTATTGTAATTTTTTTTATTTGAAATAATATTACAGTGGTAGGATTGAAACATTAATTCCAATGATTTTAATTTGTTTAATTGTATTATATATTAATTATTAAATTAGATTTTGTTTGCGTAACTTTTTCATTGTATAAAAAAGTTTTCTTTGTGTAAATAACTAACTGCACCAGAATGGAACTGTAGGTTTGTAATAATAATCTATCCATCTGTTCATGTCATTAACCAGGGGCCACAAACTGTATGTTCACATTTTAAAGAATTTACTCTTTGCTTGGTCCTGGCACACTTTCGACTCATTGACATACTTGCTCTTTGGCCATAAATGTTGCTCAATAGTTGGTCGATATTGCTTTTCACTTTTTTTTTCTATACTCGGCACCGATCATCCATTCTCATCTCTATGTGAAATAAATTTTTAACTGATGTTTACTTTAATGTCGTAATTTAAATTATGATAATTTACTAACCAAATATGTAAATGGAAATAAAACAAGTTTATGACCCCTGCTGCTGTATTGGTTTTTGCTTAAAAAATGTATAATTTATAGATATGGCACATTTATTAACTTTTAAAGCACAAAAAAGGAATGCCTTTATAATAATGAATACTCTCACAAGGAAACTAATATGTTAGCTATAATATATTCAACTAACATTATATCTGTTTAGAAGTAAACATATAGTGCAATTTCTAGAATTACTTTACTGAAATAATGTCAAGGTCATAGTTATTTCTTTCTTTTCTTGGGAATATCATAATTTCATTAATATTATTCGCCTCATTTTAATGACATTTATATTTTTTTTATTCAATTATGTGTGTTTTATTAAAAATTCATCTCATTTTTAATGTTTCATGATATCGCCGCATTGTATGTCTTCATTCGTGGGATTGCGGCGTAAAGCGAACCAAGAAATAGGTTTGATATAACAATTAAATGGATTTGCATTATGTAGAAATTGCGGCGAAGCCCTATTTATGAGTATATAATTTGCGGGGTTGTAATAATTAGTGTCCGACCGAAGATTTTGGTGTTAGGTTCCCATCAAAAATCTAGTTCCTACCAGTTTTTAAGTGATGGTATTATATTATCTACAGATGTAAACTTTACAAAATAAAACGAAATTATCGTTTTAAAATGATTTCAGCCCTCAAAAGTAATCTCGAAAGATTGTTTCGGTCGGATACTAAAAAAATAATATGCAATCGCTTCGTAGTTTATTTGTAGGAAATCCAATATGTTTGTAACTATTTCAAACACGGGAATTGAATGCAATCATTTATTTGTCACACGCTTCATTAAACTTGTGCCAGGACCGTGTCTTGAAATGTTTAAAATGCTTTGTAGTTTTAGTTTGTTCCTAGTAGGTATTCTAGAGTGTTGATAACTGAAACAGTCATGTGATTAATATGGATATGCCTCTAAAGTTCGTATGCCTTGCCTTTAAAACTGTATTGCATGTTTTGCTTGTTACAATGCTTTACAAATACTTTAGTATATTATTTGATTAAACTTTTTAATGTATTTTTTTTAATTCAACTATAAAAGGCAGTATTATATTTTAAAATTTGCATGTCCATATTAAATTGTCTATCTTTAGTTTTAATATATGCTTAACCGTAGTTAGTTCGGGATATACGAAATGCGGTATTTCATTATGACCATAATAAATTACTTGTTTATCTACATTATTATGTCGTATTAACTATGAAAATTAACAAAAATTACTCTGTAAAATTTGCGGAGTATAATTTTACGTGATAACGTCACAAACTGAACGATTAGGCAGATCTTGCCTCTACCGCTTGTTGCATGCGCTCGCACACTCCGCTCAGGCGAAACGTGAGAGTCATGTCTTTTAGCGTTCATTGATTTATAAGACGTTATCACGTCAAAATATACATACTAATAAACTAATCCATTACTATATTTAACCTATTATATGTAACAACTCAAAAACAACATATTTACATACAAATGTATTAAGAAAAATAATTTGAATTGCAAACAGGCGTTGATTGGAAGTCCCTGACTATCCCGGCCTGTCTCCCCATCACCACGGACTACTTCCCGGACAAGCGGTCCCTGCAGAACGATTATCTCGTGTCCGACTATAATTTGCTGCCTGATGACGTCAACGCAGACTTTGCACAGAACCGCGCTATATACAAAAAACCGCTAACCACCAACGAAGTGTTCAAGGAACTTGTCTCACAGAGATTGGCGCAAGTGAGTGATTTTTTCCTGTCTCAAAGGCCAAAGGTCTCAATTGTACCAACTTTGAAACCACTATATGCCCACTTTACGATTTCATCGTGTTCATTTTTACATGTTATGACATACTAGCATATGCCCGCCACTCCTTCTGCGTGGATTAAAAGAAGCCTATATGTATTTCCAGACTATCCTATACATGCCAAATTTTATCGAAATCCGTACCCGCAGTTTAGGCTACAAACTCTAGTAAACTTCCATCCATCCAAACTGATAGATTTATAATGTTAATGAGGTTTGTAATTAAAGTTTAACTTAAGAATCTTAATGGCTTTTAATGCCCTTGAGTGAAGGATTTCTCATACTAAATCTACCCTTACATCCAACTACTCTACTGCGGCTGTTAAAAAAGTTAAATAACACTCCAAAGGGTTTCCAATTAATCGTGGGTGTGAATGAGAACGACGTGATAGAGTCTCACTGTCCGTCGACGCCGGCGCCGCCGCCGTCCAAAGTGGCCCCGCAGTGCGGCAAGCCCGCCAGCGCGCACACCAAGCGCTACCTGCTCTCCATCGGCAGGATATTCCACAAGCTCACACTGGTGGGCTCCACCATCACCGTCACTAGGTACCGACCCAGGTAAGAAACAGTTTTGAAATCGTTATATTTATTTCAGTTAAGGTTGTAAGATTGATATAGGGCCGCTACAAACTTTATTTCTTTCTACCTTATCTTTACACCTCGACAGTTTCATTCTAAATAATCACGTTAAAGCTCGGTCCACAAATTGATCCAAAAGTAGTAAGGAGTTTGTCCTTTCTAGCATATCCGCTATATAATTATAGTTTTACTTATTTTATCTAATATGTTGCTCGCGACTACGTCCACGTGGAATTAAAAAAAATAAGAAATATAGCCTATGTAACTTAGATAACGTAGCATTTTAACAGTGAAAGAATTTTTGAAATCGGCCCATTAGTTTTAATAAAAACCAAAAATACAAATCTTTCATCTTTATAATATTAGCACAGAAAACTTTTGAGATGAACTCTGTTATCCGTATTATAGTTATTTAATTGTTTTTCAGACACCCCTACCCCCCGTTCAACATCCACTACCGGTATCGCTTCCACGCGCCGTACCACGACACGTACGAGGTGTCGTGGGTGTCGTTCACTACGGAGAAGCTGGAGAACTACAGCTGGAACTACATGGACCACTACATCTGCACGCGCGGCGACACTGACTTCGCACTCGAAGAGGTAACGGTAAGCTGTATTATTACAAAAAGTGCGATTTTACCAAAGCGTTAGCACAAAAGTATAATTTGTGCAAAAAGTGTACAAAAGTACAATCCATGCAAAAAATGTACAAAAATATAATTTGTGTATTATAAGTACAATTTGTGCAACCAGTATGTATAAATGTACAATTTGTACAGAGAGTATGAACAAAAGTACAATTTGTGCAAAGAGTGTGCAGAGTGTACAAAAGTACAATTTGTGCAAAGAGTATGTAGAAAAGTACAATTTGTGCAAATAGGAGTACAGAGTAAATTAAAAGTAGGAAAAAAATCAACAATTTCCTTTCAGTCATTAAAATACTGGAGATTCAGGACCCTGTTACTGCCGCTGAGTAACGCGGCCACCAAACAGATATTGGAGGACGAGAGCGCGCACTGCGACATCTACCCCGCGCCCTCCGCACACGACCTCGAACAACTCACTGACGGATTCCTTAAAATGACTGAATTATACTTCAATAAAGTTAAACGACCTATCAAACAGAGGGTAAGTAATCTTAATTTGCAATAAAATTAGTCAAAAGCATTTAGCATCTTGTACATTAAGTAATTGTTTAAAAGCTGATTCAATAGATAAACATTATTTGCAAATTAATAAATAAAATTTTTGCATTCGCTCTAAAAATATACTGAAATAATTATTTTCTATAAAACAATTGAAAGACGATTTTAATGTCATATCTGTACTGCTATAGATTGAGGAAATTATTTAATTTCGAGTCTGTTGAATTCAAGAAATGAAGCCTTTTTTTACAAATAAATTGCTTTAATTGAAAAAAAGCCGGCTTTAAATTCAAACAATACTTTAATTTATAAAAATATGTCTGTACATATATGTTATTAATATGTGATATTGTTTACAGTTTGCACACTTGTATATTTCAGCATAACACTAAGGGTCTGTCCCACCAAATTTTAAATTGTCTGATAACAATCCTACATGTATAATGTGTGATGGCAATATCAGATTTTGTTGCCTTGTCTGACAGTGACATTTATAAACTATCTGAGCCTCTATCAGTCAGTGGTGGGACAGTCCCTTAGTTGGCATGTTGTATTGCACCGATGTAACACGTAGTTATTTTGCACCGCATGTTGTAGCACGTTACAAACTTACCTCTAATAAATTGAGTCATATAAAACTGATTGAATTAACCAAACTCAAACATGAAATTATCGAGGCATATGAAATATATCGCATGACATATAATGTCCACTTATAAGTATAAGATTTTAAACTTAAAATTAACCAGTGGCTGTCTGAATTTGCTAAACTAGCGAAGTGGCCACACCTCTTAGACATCCGCATTTGCAAAAGTGTTGCCTATTTTCAACTGAGAGAGGAGACGCGCAGAAATAAGATATTTATGCGTCCCCTTCCTTACCACAATTTGTTCTTTGGTACGCATAAAAGGTTCTATGATATACATGAGCATTTTTGTGAAATATTTCCTTTAAATTTTTAACAATTATTGAGATCTTTTATTGGGAATTATTGGGAGTTTTAGTAAAATCATTTGTTGCCTTTCAAAAAATTTTAACGAAACTTTGTAACCACCTAAAAGAATATTGGAACGCAAACTGTTTGCTTTTTAAAATCTTATACTTAACTAAGCTGGGTTAAGCTATTTACAGAAAATAATAATTTATTATCAAATTATGTATATGCCATATTGGAATGGAATGGATATTGTTTGTTTGCCCGATTGTTTGCACAAGATGTATGATTTCCTGTTTGGGTGAACCTGGATTTACTACAAAGTCCTGTGTCCCAGAGTTGGGTAAAAGGCCTTTTATAATATATAAATTATAACACGGCTAAACTCACGTGATAACATTCGGTGTAGGCACCGACAGTTTCGAACCCGTTGGGGGTCCTTCTTCAGGGTGAGTGATTAATCGGGTATACTCGCTAGCGCGTCGCGACGGTCACTGCGTGCCCTCGCCCGCATCGCGCGTTTCGACAGGGCGGGGGGCGCGGGGGGTGCGGGGGGTACACTATTCACTATGTGCGTCGGCGCAGACGAGCTCGAAACTGACGTGGTGGTGTTATTATTATTAACGGGGGCACAAAATACACTTACAATGTCCACTAAGTTGTCTTCGACATTGTCGATCTTATTCCGCTTCGCATTCAGCAGCACGGGTTCCCACGCGGGTGGCAGAGCCCAACCCTTGTCTCTATTATAATTAGGCCGACGGCTGATTTCTATTGCCTCACGAAGCTTGCGGGATACAAAATGCTTCTCGCGGGCTAGCACTTTCACTTTGTCGAACCTAATATAATGTGACATATCGGAGGCAAGGGCATGTTCCGCCACCGCCGAGGCGTTGCTGTCGAGCTTGCGAATGCTCCGGATGTGTTCCGTGAGTCTAGTTTTTATGTTGCGCCCCGTTTCTCCGATGTAGTTCCTACCGCAATCGCATGGAATTTCGTAGACCCCAGGGCTGTCCAGAGGGTCCCGGTCTTTAGGGGACCGCAGTATTTTCTGTATTTGTGTCAGGGGTCGGAAAATGGTCCTGATGCTATATCTCCGGCGTAACAGGTGACCAATTCGGTCCGTTATCCCCCGCACGTACGGCAAGTATGCCGGGACACGCTCAACATCCTGTGGCCGTCCTTTGCTTGATGTGTTTGCAAGGCGGTAACTCTGCCGCCAATTATAGCCGTTGCTCTCTAACACCTGTCGTACGTGTGACAATTCCGACTCAATAAACTGTGGATCACACAACCGAAGCGCACGGTTGATCAAAGTGCGTGGTACTGACGACAGATGTGAGGGGTGTGGAGTTTAGCCGTGTTATAATTTATATAGTATAATGTCTCACGAAAGCCTTTTATAATGTTTAGAGGCCTTACACTGTACAAATCTTTATTCCCAACACATTCAGATTGCCTCGTTATATTTGTTAGACATTGTGTCTCAGCACATTACAATGCATTTAACAAATCCATTTTGTTTGCACCGGGGTTACAAGTGATAGATCGATACTCTTATGAAGATAGGTACATTCTCGTGTTACGATCGTCGTTAGGAGACAAGGGGGTGTTATTGGGTAGATTGAAATGCAAGAGGGGTGGGAGATTGGGGGGGTTGGTGCGATGTTGGCGCGACTACAGTGGATGTGCTGCAGATGGCGCTGCCGGCGGGCGCGGCGGAGGCGGCGCCCACGCGTCGCCGGCACTCCACCTCCATCTTGACGCGGAACGCGCAGGTACACACGTACCGACACAACCGCTCGATGTACCGGACATGTATTGAGTTGTCAAACTAATACTATTACGTGTAATAGAAGATTAAAACATCTTGATCGTTGTAATTGTGTAAATACTGCTATAATACACAGCCAAAAGTAATTGCCAAATAAACGTGCTATCTTAGTCAGAATACCCAATACCTTTTCTAAAGCTTTGTATTTAAGCTTTTGTACACAGTAGATATTAGTTTGACAGCGATGCAAAATTGCGGTTTCTTTTTCATTAAAATAATACTTTAAAGTATCAAAATTTTTTTAAGTATCAAAATTATATATTAGACCATAACATTGTCCGGTATAGTAAAACTGACGCGTTGTGTTATAGTCGTTTGACTATGTCTGACGGCTGAAGATTCCCTGTTTTTGTTATTTTTCTTATAAATCTGCGTATTAAAAAACACTGCTCACTTCCAAAGCTCAATAAATTAGTTATTTCCAGACTATATAACAAAAGATTTTACGATTTTTGTGAAAGAAGACATAAATCATATTTACTTAATTAGAAATACATAAAAGGCCACCAGAATATTTAATAAAAAAAAATAATTGATTTTCAGTAATTTGAATGGAAATAAATTAACAGGTTTTAATAAATTTAGTTCTTCAACTCTTTTTTGGCCACATTTAACTCTACTTGGCTAACAATTAAATTATTTTTGAGTAAATGAATATTTTATTGGTAGTTAAACGCAAAACATGATTCTAAGCTATTCATAGAGAAATATATTTCTTCTTTAGTTGCCAGCTAACATTGGCTATTAAAATTCGTCCATTTTATCAGTATAGATGTTTACATTTGTAGTTATTTTAAAAGGTTGTTTAAGTCGGCGTAGGCTGTGTTTTACTGTCGCATGTAGTTTTTTCTTAACTAATGAGGCGTTCACACATTTTAACGACATAATACCATTAATGACAGCTCAAGTAGCTTAACAAAACTATGAAATTTACAAAGGCAGCGGTTTTAATTTTCAACCTTACTCCGCTTGCATAAAGACTAACCGAATCTTTTACATTAAAATGAACCTTTGTAGTTTTAATTTGTAAAGGCTTTCAGCGTTTACATCTATCACTTTCACCAAACAACTTATTAGAATTGATATGCTATCGCATACTCTTGTGACATTCGTACATACGAGCACCGCTTATATAGTAGTTGTCAGATATCTTGGTGGCTCTAAACTTCACGTGAGTCGCTGCACAGACCATAATTTTTGATATAACGTGCAGCGTTGGGAGGCCACTGTGAATTTTGCCGACGTTCATGGGCCGCTAAAATATTTGAAAAGAACTATACAAGTTAAACAAATGCACGGACCGCACTTCTTTACTTTGTAATTGTTTGCTAGCTTTGTTTCTACAGTAGTGTCGTAATTTAGTTTAAATTAAGTAGTTTTATGTGTCATCACAAAATGCACTTCTGTAATTATTGGATGACGAAATTAGACTTTGTTGTGATTGATTTAGGGTACAAATCTGAATGCAAAGGTAAACCTTTCATGTAGACGAGACAATTTTTTTAATCGTAATCATTTGCTGTAGATTTTAAAACAGATTAAACTGTCTTAAGCATATTTAAACTATTAATATATCTGTACTTTTATAAAGGCCTACCTCTGTATGTGTTTAGGGTGTTTATGTAGGGCGTAAGTGCGTGTTGAGTAAAGGTGCGTGTTGTGTGGTGTAGCAGGGCGGTGTGAGTTCGCCCTTCAGGGAGCGCGTCGGCAGCACCCGACTGCCGGATCGGCCGCGGCTCCGGACTGAGGCCATGTCAGTATATGTGACATGTATTACACGCTTAGACCGACAAACTTTTCTCACCCGGTGACCGGTGACCAGAACTCCTCACACTGACTACATATTGTTGTTCTTTACTGTCTTTTTCACAAAAAAGAGATGACAATATGTATTACGATGTGAATTGCATCGACATCTTCGGTTAAACAGAATTATAATAGCTATTTAGCCTTTGCTAATGTCCAAAATTACACAAGAGCCAAACTGTAGCTGACTTGTCTTGAGCATTTTCTATGTCAAAGTAAGGTTTTTATACTTTCTTATAGATCAAACAGCGCTGATAGCACTGTCACAGGGTCAGATAAGTTTGTCGCACTATATCGCTTGCACAAGTCTAAAAAAGACATGGATTAAATTTTCAAATTTGTAAGCTTGTGCTCTCGATACCACGCTCTTAATTTTGAAACAATTTATACGTTGATATTAAAAAAAATATGTTCCTGTACGTACACTATTTTTTATCGTTATCGTTACATGAATATAAATTGTTTCAAGTCGCTTATCTTTGTTCTTTCTCTCACTTTATGGTGTTGCGTTTGGTTTTTGGTTTTGACTCTTTGCTTTTGCTGTAGCGCTGTCTAGTTCTTTACAGGTTTTCTTTCGTTTTTCATATCTATAAAAAAATTTTCGTATGGTTTACAAATCTAAAAAAATAAAAAACATTTTAAAGCTTAGAATTTTCTAACAATTTCGACTTACTGTCTTATGACGCAGTGTTGCCCGCTTAGATGCATTTTTTATCAAAAGATATAATTTTGTCATAAAATTAGAATTAATATTGCTTTTCTCATGTTACAGATTATAAAACTCTATGATATTTCAACTCTGCTCTCATTTTCCGTTTCAATGCTTACCCCCTATCGGTTGCTTGTTTTCTTATCCTTTCCGAATGTTTCATTGCAGCAAGTATCACCTACTAAGTCACTAAACGCTAGTCAATGCAACAAGTAAGTATACATGCTTTTACATCCCATTTAACTTGCAAGGTTCATATATTATCTGTACTCATTTATTTATACGTAACTGATAAATATATGAACCTATTTCCAAATTATTTTTATTAATTCTCTGCTTCATAATACCATCTACATCTATTTAGATATTGCGCTTTTATCTTTGCATGCGTATTGCTTAAGCATGAATTAATTTTCAATTAATCATACATTAACGGACAAGCTGTGTGTTGCAGGGCGGCTGCCAAGACAGTGCTGGAGCGGACACAATCACAGACAGGGGAAACTGAAGACACGTATGATGATGGGTGAGTTGCAAAACAACGATCATACACTTAAAAGTCAAAAGTCAAGGTCTTTTAGTATTACTAAAATAGTAATTGCGAAAGTTTAAATAGATGTATGGGTGTTTGCTAGAGTTTATAGCCGAAACTGCTGAATTAATTCTCAATGAAATTTGGCACAGATGTAGAATATAATCTGGAAGAACACATAGGTTAATTACTTTTGATTTTTTTTAATTCGCGGGCGAAAACTAGTACGTACATACATCACAAATGGTTTGAACAATTGAATTAGTCATCATAATATTATCATCTACTATCACCATCATTTGGTTACTTTACTTTTCGTGAGATTGCCACATGTTTACTTCCAAATTGACATTTTTAAAATGTCTTTCAGAGTGATAGAACCAAAGTTAAAATCAAACTCTAGTCTATCAGAGATAATAGAGCGCATGCGACATCCGACGTTAGGCGTGGGCTTCCTGCAGCAGACGGTCAGCCTGCCCTCGCACGCCTTCGTCTCTATATACGCTATACACTGGCTGCAGGCCAACATGGAGGCCGTCACATATGATAAAGCAACCACCATCATGGAGGTACTAACCATGAAATTATAATTACGAATGTACGATCGTATAATATGCCGTTTTAAAGAATTTGTGCTGTGAAAATAATTTGTTATTCCCCTTTTAGCGGATGTTGCAAGAGAAGATGATTTGCCATGCATCAGGTGATACGACAAAACGCTTTGTGGTCGGTTACTATATGTACCATATTCTGCCGCAGAAGAAAGAGAAAGGTAATATAAAAAAAGATATAGATTGTTAAGATTAGATTTTTTAAATCATGATTTACAACTTATCATTCTCAGAACTAAGTGACTACGTGAAGCCGCTCGGAGATCTGCAGAGCTTTGAGAACGAGTGGATGGAAGTTGAAGTGTTAGGACCGCGGTCTCCGCTGGCGGGGGCAGGGGCCGGGGCAAGGGACATCGCAGGGGCAGGTGCACGGGACATTGTAGGGGCGGGGACACGTGACGTCACCGGCCTTCCCGCCTTCCTCGCGCCTAACATCGACCCTAGATACATGAGCCGAGCTGCTGATACTGACTGTGAGACACTTCTATACTAATATAATAAGGGGAACACACACTACTTTTTGGCGTAGGATGTCAGCAATCACAGCATATTTTCCAATAATTCTTTCTCTAATAAAAGCCTTTACACTTACGAAACGTTTAACTCTATTGAATTGAGGTGGTAAATAAATTGAAAATAAACTTTCATGTAGAAAAGAGACCATAAAGTACAAGGTGACATCTAGGAAGCAAGGTTGCCATGGTAACGGTAATTGTTATCCAATGTCAAAGACCTTCCATTTGTTAACTGATTGGTGTTATTTAGTGCCTCTATACAAGAACACGCACCTGGATATCGACGTGAGCAACAAGAGTGACCGCATAGAGTGGGGGCACGCGCGCTACCAGGCGACTTTCAGGCCAGACCAGGCCTATGAGATGTGTATACAGTGGGCCGTCGCCAGCGGGAATATTGTCGCTGAACTGGTATGTCATGTCCAGCTTTTTAATTTTCTTCTTAAAGTTAAAGTTTGGTTATTACTTATATCAGGTCTTTTTTGCGTGTATTCTGTGGTTTATTTGTGTATAATTTTGTAGATATTAGGATGGGCTCGTAAAGCACAGAACTGCCGTTTGCAAATGGTGCCAATTCCGGCCGATCCGTTGGCGTTACCTTTTACATTGAAATCGGATCCTCTGCGTGGACCTATTTATGTGCCGCTCAATGAAGAGCCATTGCTGAGAGGGAAGAGTGCTCTGTTTGAAGGTATACTATACTTCAGTAATTAAAATGTATTTTAGTTGATGTTATAAAATTAGCTATATAGAGCCCACTGATTTTAAAATCATGATTTTAATGTGTCATTTTCAGCATCATTATTACTATTTATACTTCTTGCTATCTTATTTCTTATTTATACTCGAATGCGAAGTTTAGACGGATTGATGGATGGATGTTTGGGATTTGTAGCCTATACTGCTGAACGCACAGATGTAAAGGACAGTCTGGATGAACACATCCTTTTGTATTTTTTTTTTATTCCAAGCAGACAGAGTCACGAGCAACAGCGAGTTAATCTGTGAAAGTGGTTCCCCAGGTTTCCCGGAGGAGACGTGGGAGGAGCGGCTGTTCCTGTTCCAGGAGGCGATCGCGTGCCGCTTCGGGTTCACGAAGTGCGTGGAGAGCACGGTGCACCAGGGCGTGGGCGACCAGCTGTACGTGCACCTCACCGGCAACATGTTCCTGCTCATCCCCACCGCGCCCGCGCCGCACGGCCGCGCGCTGCGCAAGCCGCCCAACAGGCTGCTCAACGCGAACAGGTACACCCACACAGAGAATCACTTAGAGGGAGAGAGAGAGAGGGAGGATCAACGAGAGAGTGAGAGAGAGGGGGGATCAATGAGAAAATAAGAGAGAATCCACTAGAGAGTAAGATAGAATCAACGAGCGAGAGAGAGAGAGAATCAACGACAGGGCGACAGAATCAATGAAAGAGAGGGGGGGGAGAGAGAGAGAGAGAGAGAGAGAGAATCAATGCGAAAGAGACTCAATGAGATAAATAAATAAAAGGGACAAAAAAGTATTTGAAATCACGTGACACTTGTATTGCTATCATCTTTTATAGACTAGGATATCTTAAGAATTTAATAAGGTAATTAATGTTTAATACACATAGTAATGTGTGCAGGTACCCGGTGCACACGGACGTGGCGGCCAGCCCGCACAAGGGATACATCTCGTGGCACGTCAGTGACAAGAATAAAGACGAATTCGACAACAGCCGACGGGTGAGTACTGAAATAACAAAATACCTTACATTTTACACATTACAGATTAATCTATTATTATCTAGGTGTAAGGATAAGTACAGCATTGATAGTACAGTTTCAGATGGGTTTCCTGTGGTCGTGGAACCACATGATATCTAAGAAGTGGAAGTGGCTGCAGCCAGCGACGGGTGACGAGACCTTCCAAATGCGAATGTTGCGGGACTTCAAGCACTTCTGTGCGAACCACGAGCAGCGTCTCACGCAGTTCTGGGACCACTGCTGGGACCATTGCTGGGACCACTCTAGGGACATACACGAACACGCCGGAATTAAGTCCTGATTATACTTTATGTATGCTTTAACTATTGTTATGTTTTATATTAAAGGCTGTATTAAAATAATTTGTTTTCTTAACTACATTACCAAAATCATAATTTTTAAATTTTGATGATTATCATACGTAATATAACGATTGTTATTACGCTATTCGCAACGAAACACTGTTTACAAGTCGTTGCCATGGTTTTTAAAAATACTCAAAGAATGGTAACGCAGTTAAATATTGCAAATTAAAATGTCTCTATTCAAAGTGAAACAGTGGTGGTCGAACACGACCAATACGGAAAATTATAAAGACAGACAAAACTTTAGTTGTATGAAAGTGGATAAATTCAGTTCACATAATGATAGCGATTGTATTCTATTGGGGGAAGGTAATTTGTTACAATTGTTCAAACCGAGTCTAGGTCAAGATGCTTTACTTCTGGAGACTGAATTATCGGATATTATTCTACAAATTGAAACTGGAAAATTTATAGGGTAAGTGTCACTTAATAATCTTACTCTTACTAATATTATAAATGCGAAAGTTTTGTTGGATGGATGGATGTTTGTTAGAGTTTGTAGCCTAAATTGCTGAACAGACCTCGATGAAATTTGGCATAGATGTAGAGCATAGTCTAGACGAACACAGGGAAAGCTGCTATATTCATAAATTTAAAACCAAGATGTGCTTTTTGTTCTACTTTTCTTTGTGTGTCAGGTTATCTGGAGATCGAGAAATCATAGTTCTACATTCACAAAGCTATGTGATATACGAACTTCATAGAAAAGAAGGATTAACAGATGCAGGTAAGTCTAAAATCGTTAATTTACACACTAGAAAAGAAATCTAGGATTTATCAAAAAAACTGCTGTAGCCGTAAAAGGCATAAAATAAATATGTATTAAGATTTTTACAGACATAATTAATTTCCAGGTGAACAAAACAATATGACGGCTGTAATAAAACATGCCTTCAAGAGACGGGCATGTAATCTGACTGTTGGACCGTTTGGCAGTTCTAAAGCCAGAGATCTAATCTGTGTACAATCTCTAGATGGTACATTCAGTTTTTTCGACCAAGATACTTTCCTCTTCATGTGTATATTTAACGATATTTTGATACCCGGGCCAGTTGCTTACGTCATGAGTAGCGATATGTTTGTGATTTGTAAATCAACTTGGGCATTGGAGATTTACAGGTAAATATATTAAATTGTTACCTTTGCCCACAACTTTCATTGCTATTTTATTTACTAATATTATAGATATAAATGCGAAAGTTTAGATTAAAGGATATTTGTTAGTTTGTTGTCTAAATTGCTGAACGGATCTTGATGAAATTAGACACAGGTATAGAGGTTAGTCTGGAAGAACACATAGGCTAGTTACTTTTGTTTTTTAATTCCACCCATGCACACGTGCGCTTAGAATCTTCGGGGTTCTTGTATAGTAAAGTTTGTAAATAAATTACCAAGGCAATGTTGGACTATAAATACAATAAATAAATACATTAATACAAAGATAAACGTTATTATACTTACCTTTAAACTCCAATAACGAAATTGAAAATCGTTTTCAGTTATCAGCAACTTCGAGAATCTAGCGAATTGAGTTTACGACAAAACAAAGCAAATATTCCCCAATGGTCTTACAACGCCGGTGAAGAAATATCCGCTGTTCAAGTTGTTCGGGTAAAAATCATTTTGACTTTACTAATATCAAAAATACGAAAGTTAAGATGGATGTTTGTTTGTAGCCTAACCTGCTGAACGGATCTCGATGAAAGGCATACATGTAAAACATATTCTGGAAGAACACATACGCTACATATTGTAGTTTTTTAATTCAAACAAACGGATTTGGGGGCGAAAACTAGTTATTAATAAAATGTTTTTGTTACTTTTGTATGCCATATCTGACTTCGGTCAATCTAATTAGTTTATTTCTGTATATTTCCAGACGAGTAGTAACTTCTCAAGCATCATTGCGCTGGGAGAAAGACATCTCTATTGCTTCCAGGATAACGGTTTGATGAAGGAACTTATCAGATTTGATTATACACCAATTTGTTTCCATTCTTATTTAATTGGCTGGTACTATGGTAAGAATTTTTTTTACCGCTAGAGGTCGCTAATCAGTCCTTTAATTCAAATAATTGTTATTTCCGATTCGTATGATTCGAAATTAAGGTACATTTTCAAATGTTTAGTTTCTTTTTTTATTGCTTGTGTAATCTTTAGTTCTGTACTAGTGTTATAAAGAGGAAAGATTTGTGTTTTTGGATTTTTGCATGTATTAAAATAACTCAAAAACTACTGTGCCAATTTTAAAAATTCTTTCACCGTTAGAAAGGTAATTTATCTGTGAGTAACATAGACTATGTATTTTATTTTTACACGGGCGAAGTCGCAAGCAACAGCTAGTATTGTATATTTTAATGAAATAGTCAATGAGAGAACATACATATTTTTTCCAGAACCTGGGGCACGTCTTCTAGTGATGGTTGCATCAGATGATTCTAAACTATACATCTATGAAGGAACTAAATTATTATGGGCGTGTGATCTTATGATAAAAGCTGTATCTTTATGTAGATGTTTTATAAACTCTCTGCCCGGCGGCGTTGTTACTCTGTCCCGCGATGGAGTAATATCTGTTAATTATTTAGGAACCGAGCCTAATTTAAATCCGAATGTCAATATTGTCAATGAAATTGTAAGCCCAGTGGAAGTACAAAGAGAACTAGAATCAGTGGAAGAAGCCCTTAAATTAATTATATCTGATGATAAAGGTATCAAATTGAGTTTTTAACTAAATAAAATTGCTTTAAATAAGTTAAAAACAAATGAATAATTGAATTTCTTTTTACGCATACTCTTATTCACAAATAATTGTACATATTTGATTTTTTATTCTACATTTTATGTAATTGTATATTTTTACTATACGTTTTAATTATTTTTTTCAGAAAGCGTTGAAGATGTATCTTATATAGAAAAAACTATAAGCATAAAGACGGATATGGGAAAACCTATCGAAAATTATTACGAAAATAACAGATATGAGAGCGATAAAAGTTTACAGTTAATAAAATGCCCTTTAATTATCACATTAATTTGTAAAGAGCCTGAATTAATTCAGAATATACAAGTTACGTATATATGTAGCTCTCCATTTATTGTTTCTGACAATGGTAAATATATCGATGATGTCAATGTTACACAGATAATAAAAACTGACATTCTAATGTCAAACAATTATGACTTATCAAATACCAACATAAAAATATTATTTACTGTAATCGATCGTACGGGGAAAATAATTATTATCAACAGAAGTATTATGTTACCTCTGAAATTTTACTGCTCTGTAGGAGAATTAAATTTGGAAAATCAAATTAAATTGAACATTCACGTAAATGAGGCATGTTTGGATTTGAGAAATATATTTACAGGTATAACAATTTATTTTACTTTACTCCATAGCAATAAAACTTCCTAATAAAAATCCTTTTTTCAATCGATAAAATAATCTTTGTTAACATCTTGCAGATGTTACAAAAGAAGAATTAAGTAATTTTGAAGACACCGTTAATAATATAACATTTAAATATAAAACGACGGACACAACTGTTACTGTTTCTAGTAACGACCAAGAATATTCGATAGAATCGGTTGATTTTCCCGAGATTTCACCCATGTTAGATCATTTCCTTAATAAACTAAACGATTATTATATTCAAACAAATATTGGAGTGCGCATAACAGTCAAACCGAGCAAGGAATTTATCTCGCAAATGATACATAGGTTTTTAAAAAGTATTGAAACTCACTCTAAGGAAAGAATGAAATTAAAGAAAATACAAGTAAGTTAATGAATCAAGGTAGCCAACTGTTGCAAAATTATTACGTCGAGATTATTCTATTTGTTTCCAAGTGCCCTCTCTCTGTCTACGAAAAAAACATAGACAACAATATATTTTGATACATATTACAATCAGGGAATCTAACGGTGTTCCTCCTTTAAAGCTAGTTATTTGAAAGTATTGTACGTATTGAGACAACGCAGATAAATAACCAATATGGCACAGCTTTTAAATGTCTCTGATAATAGGTCAGTATATGCCACGGTGCTTTTTTATCCCGTGAATTACGAATCTTACTGCTACGTAACTATTTTTTAAGACAGCTTGTATAATAACAAGACAATTTTTTTGTAAGTGTAACAGCGAGTTCCTCGACTGTACATTTATTATATTCATTGTATTTTATAGTTTTTTTTTTTTTAGGATGAGTTGGATGTCTTACAAAGACAGTTCACTGCGGTTCAGAAGAGATTACTGGTGCAGTACGGCTCCCTGCCCCCCGCGCACTGCGACACACTAGAATTTCTAATGAAAGATACACACCAACGGATAATAAATATTGTCTACGAAATTATTCAAAACAGGAATGTGGTGTGCAGGTAGTGTTAACCTTAATAATTGCCTTAGTTATACCTTAATATTTTAATATGGCAATACTATTTTCTAGAGCGGGCAACACTCTCGCTGCTGTAGGACGACTGATCATTTGCGTATTAAGAAATACATCTACTGATATGTTAAAAGTCGTCCTTATTGAAGAAATGCTATCACTGGATTTGCTGCATGATGATTGCCAGGTAAGTAGGAATTTTTTTCCCCAATAATAATGCATTCAGTGCAATAATAAATCTAATTCTCTGAGAAGCGAGTGAAATGAACACAACCAACTACTAAGTGGAAAGTTGGTAGCATAGAACGTGTTAATCTCTTCTAGAATTACAAATTAAATTCAACATTATGTCAATTTAAAATCTATTCAGGAATGGGAAGAAGCTATAAGTAAAGTTTCATCTTTTGTATGCAACAAATTATTCAAAAATTCAGAGAAGGATAAAGAGAAATTAACGCCGGTTACTGAACAAGATACTCTGTCTCATATCAACTTGAAGAGATTACTCAAACAATTAAAAATAATTTTGGAAAAAGTATTCGATGAAATAAACGAAGGTACACAAGGAAACGTCCGAACAGAAGAATTAGTTGAAATAATATAATTAAAATGATAATTACGTGTTTATTTTTATAAATAGCTATTTATTATTAATAAACAAGTTCAAGTACAATTTTTTTTATTTAAAATTTAGACATCCTTTTACATATCAAACATACCTCGATCCTTTTCTTTACTTCTTACATTTACATACATACTGAACTTTTTTAAACCATTAAGTCTTTGACAAAAATGGCAAAAATAAAAAAAAATCAAGCTTTAATTTACAAAAAAATGTTTATTATACATAAATAAGAACATTAACAAAGCCATATTATGTTAGTCGTCACTGTTGAAATAAGCTGCACGCTGCTGACGGTGACGATTATATTCGTAACGTTACTGACAAAATGTGTATTATCTGTACTACTAGCGGGCGTAAAATACACTGATAAATATTATAAAATTGCCGATGACGTTACGAATGCTTTCTCAGAAATTTTCGTGCTATGCCCACAGTCGCACAATGGTACAAGCTACAGCCGTGTAATGGTACATTCTGCAGTCAAGTGAATGTCAAAGCTGCTGGTGGGTGACACAAACTGCAGTAACGTAGTACAGATTGCAATAAGGTGATAGTACACTGCAGCCACATGGTACAGACTGCAAACATATGGTACAGACTGCAAACATATGGTACAGACTGCAAACATATGGTACAGACTGCAAACATATGGTACAGACTGCAGTCAGATAGTACAGACTGCAAACATATGATACAGGCTGCAGTTATATGGTACAAGTTGAAGTTAGGTGATGGTACAAGCTCTAATCAGATGAGTTACCATGCAGATTATAATCTGCAGTGAGATGGTACAGACTGCAGTCAGACAGTACAAACTGCAGTTATATGGTATAGATTGCAATTATATGGTGCAAGTTGTAGTTAGGTGATGGTGTAAGCTGGAATAAGATGGTATACAATGCAGATTATAATCCGCAGTTAGATGGTACAATCTGCGGCCAGACAGTACAGATAGCAGTTATATGGTACAGGTTGTAGTGGGGCTGCAGTCAGACGTGCGCGATGGTGTAGAGCGCGAGGTTGAGGTAGAGCGCGTGCAGCAGCAGCAGCAGCACTTTGCCGCGTCATTTCTTCTTCGCGTCCTTCAGCCCCGCGCCCGCGTTGAACTTGAAGAATATTATGTCACCGTCCTCCACCACGTAGTTACGACCTGAAATACATAATTATTATTATATTTTATATGCGATTTGTATCCAGAGACGAACGTCGATTGTTAAAAGTATACAGAGATTAATTGAGAGCAGGTACCTCGCAAAATGTATTCAGAGTACATACGTCTCTAATAACTTCTTCGGTTCTTGTAAACTGTTTTTGTGGCTATTTTAATTTGTTTTTTCTCTTTAATTTTATTCCGTTGTTTTTCTTTAAATTTTCCTAATTACTCAATATTTCTTTCTTGTTATCTTTATACGTTGCTGTTTCTATAGACAGTTATTTAGACTTGCCTTGTTGTCGGTATTTCCCTGCGGCCTTGCAGGCGGCCTCGGTGCCCTCCTCCTTGAAGTCCTTGTAGTGCATCACCTCCGCCATTATGAAGCCCTTCTCGAAGTCAGTGTGGATCCTGCCCGCGGCTTGCGGCGCCTTCGTGCCTTTCTATAATATAAGCATAAAACATATATTAGCAACCATCAAAAAAAAAATATAATTCATAGAGTAAACTCTGGTAGCATGTTCTCAAAACCTCAAACTAAAAAAAAGGTTTTGTTTTAAATGAAACATTTAGATTGCACATTATAATTATGTACATAGCTTTTTCATCTTACTAATATTATAAATACCAAAGTTTAGATGGACTGATATTTGTTAGTTTGTAGCCTAAACTGTTGAACAGGTGTGGATGAGATTTGGCATAGATGTAGAGAATATTCTGGAAAAACAAGTTACTTTTTTTTATTTCACGAGGACGGACGAGGAAAAAGCTAGTTTGTAACAGTAACATTTAACCGTATGCTGGAAGTACAAATTAAAAGAAATATGTAAGTAATAGTATACCTGTATGGTCCAAGCCTTGACCTCATCAACGCCGGCTGTGAAGAAGTACTCGAGCTGAAGCGACTTGTACCCCGCTACTATTATCTTGTCAAGTGCGCTGCCACAAATTAAAAAAATCTTACTAATAATATAAATGCCAAAGTTTAGATAGATGGATGTTAGAGCTTGTAGTCTAAAGAAGCTGTACGGATTTCAATGAAATTTGACATGGATATAGAGGAAAGCCTGGAAGAACACATAGGCTACTAGATTTTGTTTTTTTTTAATTCCGCCGGACAGAGTCGCGGGCGAAAGCTAATAAAACATAAATACTAACGCGTGAAGATCTTCAACACTAGTCAATTAGTTTAATAGCATTTATCTTTACTTACTAGATTTTTTATTTTGAATTAATGAAATATCTATACCAATTTTAAAAAGAAAAGATTTTTGCATGTACTGAAATAACTCAAAAACTACTGAGGCGATTTCAAAAATTCTTTCATCATTAAAAAGCTACTTTCTCAGTGAGTAACAGGCTATCTTTTTTATTTTTTTTAAATTTTTTGCAAGCTAGGTTTCTATAAATTTACGTTATAAATGTAAATTGGTAGACTGACCTAGTGATGTTCTGTTCCTTGAGGAAGGCCTGCCTCTCCTGCGGCTCCATGTCCATCAGTTTACTCTCCAACGCACCGGAGAAGGGGATGAGAGGTGCTCCGGGATCGTTCTTGTCAATCCATTCCTTTAACTTTGGTAACCTGTCACAAAATACTTCTAATTAATATAACAAATGCTAAAGTTTAGATGGATGGATGGATATTGTTGGATAGGATGGATATTTTGTATAGTTTCTAGCCTAAAGGCTGAACGGATTCAATGAAATTTGGCATAGATGTAGAGGATAGTCTGGAAGAACATATAGGCTACCCACTTTTGTTTTTTTTTTAATTCCATGCGAATGTAGTCGCTGGCAAAAAGATAGTTATGTCATAATTATGTCAAGGTTACATAGAAAAAAATATAATTACAACAAATAAGTAGGAGCAGTAATTTTTCCACCTATTTAAATTGTTTAATTTAAGACAACATCTAAAAAACGAGACGTCAAACCCTATTTTTTTATATTGAAAGTTTCCATTTCAATATAAATCTCTTTGCAATTAATTTTTATTTACAAGATAACATAATTTATACAAACCATTTATTCTTTTTGCGGATATAATCCTTTTCAGAGAGATTGACAAGGTATAGAGCTGGCTTCGATGTCAGGAACAGATATCGGTTAAGTACCTCTATCTGAAAAAACAAAATCAAAGTTAAAAAATACATTTAAAAAACGTTAAACATTTTTATCGCTGGCAACACTTACATCGGCAGCGCTCCAGTCACCAAAACGAATGTGTTTTTTCTCGTCAACTAAAATTGATTTGATCTTCATGAGAGCGTCCTGAAATATACAAAGATTGATAACTCCTGAACAAAAATTCATACAAGACTCAAAAAATTCGATAGTATTACATATTCTGGCTTGAGTTTCTTGTCAGCGCCGCGGTTGACAACACGCTCGAGCTTCTCAATGTTCTGCAGAAGCTGTTCCTCATCCTTCAGCCTCAGTTCCTCGCCAATAGTCTCCAAGTCCCGCACGGGGTTCACCTCACCATCCACGTGGATGACATCCTCGTCGTCAAACGCACCTAATGAAATTATTTACTGCTACAAATACTGCCATTCATAATTCACAGTCACGGATAAGATTTATCTTACTAAGTCTACACTAAGGGCCTTTATTAAACGTCACTAAACACTAACAGTCCGCTCTCCCACTTCAAAATCAATCTTACGGTTTAGACTACCGAGGATAACAACGGATCTTATAACTAGAATGCAAAAATAATCGTGATAATTCAATAAAAACTTACGACAAAGATTGAAAATAGCATCACAAGCTTTGATGTGGGACAAGAAGGCGTTGCCGAGCCCCTGTCCCTCCGCTGCACCACGCACCAGCCCCGCGATGTCAACCACATTCAGGAACGCTGGAACCTTGCTATAAAAATATACTTTCAATTAGTACAAAAGAAATGATTTTCATGAAATAAAAAAATGTAAAGTGTATATACCTGGCTGGTTTGTGATATTCACACAAATAGTCGAATCTCTCATCGGGTACTGGTACCCTACGTGCTAGAACAAAACGATAGGTTAGACATCAGTCGTACTAGGCTTTGTTAAAAAAACATATTTCTTATAGATTAAAAAAATTAAAAACGTTAATATGTTCTCTGCGCTCGTACAACATAGAAATACACTCACTCACTTGTCTATACATCGCCTATGGTAACAAACAGATCAATGATCAGTGATGTGTAAACAAACATCATAGGAGTAGTCTTGCGAATTCGAAAACTAACTAACAGACAAATAAAAGACACGTGTAGAATATCAAATTTATTAGAAAAAACTAGTCAAATTCATAAATGCTATGAAAAATTAGTCAGAATCACATAAACAGGTAAAAGATGTGTTAGATTCCCGTTTAAAACTAGAAGGTTTTATGACAGTGCCCGAATCTGTTGTAATGGCTTTGGGTTCCGTAACATCCTGTATCTTTTGTATATCCTGTATATCCTTTAGATTACAACACTTTGGATAGTGTGCGAAAGGATTATCTACAGATCTTAAACATTGCCCTACGCGGGTCATGAGTTGACATCTACTTTCGAATGTTTTGAGGGATTTTTTATACAATGGTAAAAAAGAAACGTCTGTTAGAGGATTGTGAATCTTGAGGTAGAAAGCTACGTATAAGAGACCTGAAATTTGTGCTGTTAATCCCGGGTACTTTGGCCGCGCAACGTTAACAGAACAACAAGCCTCAGTAATAAGGTTCCCCACCGTTTGCTCAAGGTACCCTAAATGGGGAAGGCTCTTTAAGGATATCGTTGGGAAAATTTTGCGCTCTTTAAACACTGTTATATCATAGTACATTTTCGGAGTTGCTAAAAATTTACGCAGACAGGTTGAGCTGCAAAATAAATATGTTATTTCCTTATATACAGCGGCATATTCTTCCTTTCCCTTTTCTATTCTCTGAGCTGGTAAATTTTCAGCATATGTCACTATACATATGCCATCCTCATAAAGATTGAAAGGGTTAATAGTTTTAACAACCATAGGTATTTCAGGTATGTTGACATTTTCTGTCAACAGTATAACTGGATTCTTCAATACCAAATCTAGGTGCTCATTACATATCCAGTACACACGTTCTTTGTATTGTACAATACCTTTTTTATCGACTGGATACCCGCTGTGCTTTATTATGTCGTCAGAAAGACAAACGGGACAATAGTTCTTGTAACTAGACATTTTGAGTTGGAAATCGTTATCCGAAATACACATCACAGACATCGGTACTGCAGTGGTTTTGTAGTTCGTTAAGTAATGATGGATTTGTGGAATCATTTCAAAAATCTTGTTGTCAGCTTTATAGAAACATTTCCATCTAGATTCTTCTGCATTTAGAGTGAACAAATTTTGAGTGTCGTTGTTTATAAATTCCGAAATTCTATTACACTTTTTATTATATTTCGCCAATCTATGATTAATAAAATTACGTGAATATGGAGGTTTCATTTTGATTATGTTCGGATAAATTTCTTTCTGTGAATTTTTAATCATGATCCGTGAAACTCCACGAAGGTCAAAAATTATTAAAGGATAAAGGCCTAATTTTTGAAGTTCCAACGCTTCAAAAGGCGAACTTGGCAACCCATCCAAAATAAATCCACGAGAGGAACTGCAGTAATTGTTGATAAGAGTTTGAACAGCCTGCATTACCACATAATTGCTCACACTTTCTCCTTTGTCAAGTTTCGATAATGTTTTTAATGCTAAATCTGTCCATGATAGATCGTTTACAATATGCCTAAGGGCGACTCCCTTAGATACACACAACAGACCATATTTCTTCGCAATCTTTGCTGTTAATTCACTTTTTCCTGACTTCGGTGGCCCTGTGACTGCAATTTTCAATGGGTATTCAATAAAATGTTTAATGCTATCATTCACAATGTATTTCAAAGGGTTCTCTCTAAATTTCTTTAAGTTAACTTCATTGCAGATAAAATAAATATGTGATCGATGAATAACCGGAACAACTTTATTTTTACTTTTACTGATACTGTACGGATTGAATATAGCGTCCGGATTATCGTATATAAAGACAGGACACATGCGATAAAATTTGCTCAAGAAAAAAAATCCTTCTAATAACAACATTTCGGCAACATCAAGGTCAATCATATACGATTGCTCGAAACACATTTGGCGTTTATTCCGAAGATTAGCAACTTTCGATAGTAAAATTCGGGCAACTTTAGTAAACGACTTCGTTCCATTTACGGTAGTTAATTTAATATTTTGTTCCAATAATGTTTCCTTTAAAGTTTGTATATTTTCATCTTCTATTTCATAGGTACTTTCAATTCTGTAAGCAATTTTCTCCCGAACCTCGCTCGGTTTTTCCCATGTGCTTTGATCAACAGGTTCTGGATTTTCTGATATGAAGTTATTGTAAGTCTGAAATAAATTAGTATCAACGTTGTACATTCCAGACGGATGTGCTTCAATAATAGCACTCTGGGTAGAAAGATTTTTTGCCTGGTCAAATGCTTCTAACCCAATGGTGTCTATAATTGTATCAAGAATAAGTTTTACGACCACGTTCTTGGTTATGAAGTTTCTCCACTCGCGCTTTTCGTTATCAAATTTAACACGCGCTTTATGTTTAGCCTCATTTAGTTGTACTTTCCATACTTCAAATAATTTTGGTGTTAACCTTTGAGAAGATAGTTCAGTATTACACTCCAATTCGATTATTAAATCAGGTATGCAGAAACATGCTGTCATATCTTCTACATCGTTTTGCAGCTTTGGAAAACCATCTAATACAAAACCAGTTGTGGAAAATGGCGGCTGGAACCACAGCTTCTTTATTAATTTTTGCATCAATATAGGTATAATTGCTGTACCCTTTTCTAAGTAATTGTAAACCATGCGTCTTAATTCAATTTCATTCGACAATATCTCCACTTCTAAGTTTTCATTATCCTCGTTCATATTTAATTCCGTCATCACTTCTTCATCAATTGGCGTATCAGTAAAACTATTTTCGTACTGTCGACCGACTCTTTTATAATGGCGGGGTATTAAATGATTATTTATGAATTCAACAAAATCAATGTACATCAAGCCATACTCTTTAGCAATTAGCTTCGCAGCCGATGTCTTTCCACTACCAATAGGACCCATTACACATATTCTCATCGGTGACAACTTTTTGAATGGCTCGTTATAGGATTGGTATTTTGTTATGTCACCTTGAAATTGATTTAAAAATTCTTCATTGCTAAAATAATGCAATTTATTGTCATACTTGAAAGTAAATTCTGGTCTTCCCTCCCACAAAACACCATAATCGTAATAAGTAATAGGGCAATAAACATTGGTTTCACACAGGAAACGAGAGTCATTCTGCACAAGCGAATCGTTAGATGTACTTTCTTCACTACCCTGATTTTCAAATGTTTCATCTACTTCGGCGCTTCCTTCTGGGTAGTAGCTACTGCGTATTTTTACCAATACTTCTTCCAGTATTTGGATATCTGATTTATTTTCAAGTTGAACTTCAATACACGCCTTGTCCGTGTTTGTTATACTACCTTTTAAGCCCTCCCAATCTTCACGAAATTTATTTATGGTTTCGTTTAGGGTGCTAATTATTTCTGTTTTGTTGGTAAAGATCGATTTAATTATACTATTAATAATATCATTTATGAAAAAATCTAATGTAACTGGTTCAGGTGTCGAAGTATATTTAGATTCTAATTTAAGTTTAACAAGTGGATCATTGGCTAAACGAAAGCGTGTTTCATGATTTTTTGTACATATTGTCAAATTTACATATTTCTGTTCGATGTTTTCATCCATTTCTCTATCCTCGATGATTGCTATGGTATAATCAGGGGCTACAGACGAACCTAATAGGAAATCCCAGTATTCCGCATCTGACGGAAATCCATCAATTATGTACGTGCCATATTCGTGCTCACCATTTGATTTAGTTTTTGTTTGAATATCAATGTTTCCTAATATAGTTGTAAGCTCTTCCATTATCTCCGTACTGTTCGGCTCTACGTCATTTTGGCGGTTATTTTCTGAAATATATGCATATATTGCCTCCATAACATCTTCATCACCGAGAACGGGTACTGCTGGTTTTGGTATTTCCTCAGTTAACTCCGGTGGTGCATATTGAAGCAAACTATGATCGTTAAGAATCTCTTCACACTTTTCTACGTCATCTAAGAAGGGAAAGAACTGGAGATCATCACGGAGTTTTTGGACTCTGTTAAAAAGACCTTTACGTTTTGCGGAAGCGTTGTCGTCAAGTACCTCGTCTTTGATATTCAGATACTCTTTTTGTAAACGTACATATTGCTTTAATTTCTCGAGGCATGATGTATACCATAAATCTAAAGCAGACATTTTATTTTGCTCTTTGTTTTCCCAGTCGGTTATTCTGTGTCGTTCTACTTTTGCTTCTATTATAGACCATATAGAATATGTGAAGTTATCAAATTTTCTTTGCTTAATGTCATTAAGAAATGACGCATAACATATAACTGGAGCATTGAACAGCCACGATAAGCATTGCGCAACCATACTTTTGCCGGATAATTTTGTTCCTGTCACAATTATTCTACAAGTCGGTTCTAGATACTGTAGCTTTAAAAAGGATCGGGGATTTCTACAAAACGCCACCATATTATCCAATGACGATAGGAGATAAATTCGGTTAAAAAAGGCCACAGCAAATCGTGAAAGCCCTTGTACTGCATGCCTTCTTTTCAGTTCGACGGGACATCTGTTATACCACGGTGAGGCATACCGACTAAATCTTTTTGCGCCGAATTTGATGACATTCATTTCTTCTGCTAATTTCCAAAAACTTTCTATGTCATCAGAAGGTTCTTCAAGATACAAAGGTTCTGGTATTAGCACCGGTTTCACAGGTAAAAGTAATAATTTATCAAATAAAAGGTTTGCCATTTCGTAAACAGGGTTACGGCCATCCAGTTTTACAACGAATTTCGATTGAAAGTCGTTGATTTTCTTCTCTAAATAAGGTGTTACATGGGACTGGTAGTTACACATTTGATTTGTTGCATTTGAAGTAAAGTTAATGGGTAATCGGCAGAAATATTTCCGATTTAGGACACTGGTATCTACGGGATTTACTACATTCTCATTGACTACATATTTAGTAGGCCATCTTATTTCTGATTCATTTCTTGAAATTAATGGACACGTTGGACTTGAAGAAGTTAAATAATTGAAATATTTCCGATTTTTTTTCGTTATTGCATCTGGATCTGGGCAAGTAATAAAAATAATTATCATTGGATTAGCTTGAAAGTCAAACAGTTCTTGGCACTGATGGAGCAATACTGTATGCTTGGAACTTAAGGAAGATTTGTTTAATATTATGACACCTGAAGAAGGTTCCAGAATAAACTTTGGCAATGCTACTATTTGTACTGTTTCCTCCTCAACATCTGCATCAGGTTCTTGTTCATCTTCTTCTTCTTCAATCTCACTCTCAATTTCAGCCATATCTGCACTACTCTGAGAAGAATTTAAAGCTTCAGCATCACGTTTCCTGCCTTTTCTCCTCTTTTTAAAAACATTTTCAATAACACCATCAACTATATCTTCTGCAATCAAAACTGATTCTTCCTCATATAAGTTCTTAGTAAAATATTCTATATTTTTGCTTGAAGTCACTAACGGGACACCAGAGATGACATAACCTCGATGTTGTACAGCTGGTGATTGTATTTTCTTTTTCATAATAGCGATAATAGTATCATATTTACATATATTGTTATGGCGTAAATTAAAATCAATACATTTCCCTGTTACACTTTTTTGTTCCATTTCATCAACTAAAACAGTTTTGGGGCTTATGTGCACAACATTGAGTTTTTTCGCCATACTTTCGCCAAGTGAGTACGCTCCAGTTCCCGGTTTTCCAAGAATGATGTAGCATGTTGGTTTTGTGTTCAAAAATGTTTCCTGAGAATCAATATCAGTCCAAGTGTGATAGAATTCTAGATTATCGGGTAGTGGAGCAGCAGTATTATTTAGACCCAAGACAGCAGCAGCAAGAGGCCGGAAGTCATAGACAGGTTTATTAACTGTTCTGCTTATTAAATTTAAATTCCCTGAATAAACAATATTCTTGTCTGGAATCACATTTTTAATACCACTTTTGTCAACTACTTTCAACTTTGGATGATAATTATCAGTTTTCAATGTATCCATAATTAAAAGCAAAGGATTATTTAAAAGTCATTTAACAATATAGCAGCTGTCAATCAAAATGACACACATAAAAAATATGTGCAAATAGTTTCTATAGTTTAATATATTTATTTAAATATCCAAAAATTCAAATCAAATATTTAAAAATCACAACTGAAATTCTTTTTCACAAATCACACCAATACCATTTAATGTGAAATTTTAGTCTTATATTAGAACTGTGATCTAAATAAATAGAATCATGCAATAGAAGTTAAGGGGAGGCTGAAAACCAGCGCAGCCTTCAGGGTCAAGCTAGAGGTCGCATGTACTGAGCCTTCTCCTTTAAGCCAAGAATTTTTTTTATTATTAGAAAAAATTTATTTCTCACTTAAAATGCTCACAAAAATTTGAAGTATTTGTAGTTTAAAATACTTAATTAAAAAATTAAACAGTTAAATGTAATAATAAAAAATGATTAAGAAATGTATACTTATTTTCATTAGGATCTATTGTGCAGAAAGGAAAGTTTTCTGCCGCTGCTTGACTTTTTGTAAGTACATTAAAGAATGTAGACTTTCCGACATTTGGTACACCCACTATACCAACTTTTAAATTGGTGCCCACTCGGCCAATAAGTGGCTTCTTCTCCGGTTCTTCTACCTTTTTAGGAGCCATTCTGCAAAAGAAAAATTAAAAATTATTATTAAACATTATCATGAAGTAACAAGTCTAGCTAAGGAATACTAAAATATACATAAATAATAACAAAACGAGTCTAATTAGTACTTAACCAAACTGATACAGCTAAGCTAAATAAATTGTACAATTTCGTTTTCGTTAAACAGTTTGGTAAAGTTAATAAATATATAATATTAATCTATAAACACGTGGATTAAACATTTTAAAACAAAAGATAATAGTACAGTAAAGTGTAACCTATAAAAAGTATGAAATCACCTTTCGAAATAACCTACAATAATGTAGGAGTACTCACTAGAAACTTAAAAAGTCAATCTTATAATTAAATATTAAACACCAATATTGACAAACGTAAAATTAATTAAAAACTTTGAACATATTGTAGCATGAGAATGTTGGAATCTTCTTCTTGTAATTGTCAATGTCAAATTAAATGCCGCTATAAATATTTGGAACTTAGTGTTGCCATTTTTGGTTGGAGAATTTCCATAAAATGTATCATATTTCCGAAGAAAGTACTTTTTCCAATGATTAAATCTATAAAAATAATTAGACAAAATCAGAGTCCGTCGTATTTTACATTTATATTATGCGTTATAACTACTTCGCTCATTTGATAAACTTGGTTAGTTAAGTTGAATTAAGCTTCAGATAGGTTTTAAGGTATAACATTGAGCCTACGTTTAAGGACCAATGGGACCTAATACTATTATGTCAGTGGGAGTTTGATACTTCACGAATACAGTTAAAATTGTCGTATGCCCAACAAGCCATGTATTTCTTTGGTTAACACTCTTTCATCTAGATTGGGAAACTCGGAAATTTCCTAAAACCTGCCTAGAAACACATTAAGGACGTCTTTTGTTATTAAAGATAAATACAAAAGCTTTTAAATAAAAGTGGTTTCGAACAGTCGTAGTATTACCACCCCAACAAATTAGGGTGTTATCGAATCCATAGTTTAGGTCTAGATTTTCAGCTAGTGCTATAAATTCGTCTATGGTCCGATGGTCCTAAAGCGAAACCACCGTGAGATGCTTCATCTTTATACCTACCCCCACCCCATCCACATTTATTGATTTTTAAGAGTTATTAGTTTAATTCCATGCAGCCATCTTCCTACGACGACAATGTCGAGATATGAGTGGAAGTAATGAATAATGTGTTATTAATTTTAACATCTGCGCGATAAGACGCGCCAATTAGCATATCTAAACGTTTTATTAATGTAATTACCGTTCTATTGTATTATAAGAAGTAAAATGCTGTAATAACGTAATTTTTTTACCTTTAAGATACATCTACCGAAGAAAATAACAATGCGACGTAAAACAGTTTAATTTGTGTGATTTTTCACATACACTTTTATAGTTCGATAGTATATCAGTAGAAATTAGTTAAACGCTGTTACGTATAATTGTTTGCTCACGATGACGACGAAGTTTTCGTTACGTTGGACTGATTTCCATACAAATCTAAATCAGTCTCTTGAAGATTTTCTTAATGCCGAAGAGTTAGTGGACGTAACGCTGACGGCGGGGGGCAAGGAGTTTCGAGCTCACAAGCTCATTTTATCAATCTGTAGTCCTTTTTTCAAAGATCTGTTTATAAAGAATCCTTGTGAACATCCAACCATAGTTTTAAACGAAGTAGAACATGTAGAATTATCCAAACTACTACAATTCATCTATCATGGGGAGGTCATTGTCACGCAACAGGAACTTAATCCGTTTCTTGAAACGGCAGAATTCCTTCAGATTAAAGGACTAGCTTCAATCAGAGAGAAATATGAAACAGCGGTTGCTGAATCCGAATCCAACGTCAAACAAGAAACGACCGAACCGAAACCGACGATCGACTGCCACGCTGATGGTGATTCTAAAACACAGGGGAAAACTGAAGCTATCGAATCTACAGATTCCGTAAACGAATCAATACAAAAGGATTCTGTGCTAAGCTCTCTAAAGCGGTCCTTTGAAAGTACACAAAATAGCGATAGTTGTAGCAAGGAGAAAATATCCCGCCAAGATAGCGACATTTCAATACCTACTGAAAATAATGAAGAGCGCAAAGTTGTTGAGCCTACGGATGAAACCGTTTGTAGTATCAAGCCAGAGACTGTTAAAGATTCCAGACCAAGAAGCAAAGGTAAGAGGAAAAAGAAATTGAAATGCACACATTGTTATCGACACTTCGCCAATAACAATAACCTGAAGGTTCACATGCAAGATAAGCATGATAATTCAGAGGGTAATTTAGAGTGCGATAAGTGTCATAAAAATATGAAAAATCAGTCATGTCTTCGTGTACATTTGTATAATCATCACAAATTGGCGTAATGGCATCAGTTGTAATGATAAACCCTGAAATTTGTAAAAAATTATGTATACGATTTTGTGTGGCTCAATTATCAATTAATGACAGTTCTGAAGTTTTTTTAAGAAATCAAAATATAAAGCTCAAATTATGATAAAAAAATAATAACATTATTTGTATTAAGACTTAAAGCAAAAGCTTAAAAATTAACAGGATTTACAAAAAAAGAAATGACATAAATTGCATAGATTCCATCCATCAATTCAAATTTCTAGGTTAGATATGAAATCATTTTGTAGCAAGTTTTCTCTGTAAGCTGAAACAGTAATTAAAAGCATTTACATAGTGTAAATATATTTATTGCTAACATTTTAACATTGATAATTTTTAATGAAATCTATGTGGTTAACGCAGTCCAAGGTGGAGACATCGGTGCAGGGTTTTGTAAGTATGACATCACAACTGCTGAGATCGAAAGCATGAATGAACTTACAATCTGAAAAATGTAAAACAAAACATTTATATATTGTGACAATTACAGCAAATGAGTCAATTACACATATGAAATGAAAATTTTAATTGACATTGTCACATCTTTATTATTATTTTTTAATAACCTGGTGAAACCTTATAAAACTATAAATCAACTGTCCGTAACTTCATACTATCAGTAATTAGATAATCATCTAACCTTAATCAAACTTGTATTATTATTGCATTTCTTTAATAATGTTTTATTCACTTTAATTAAAATTTCCCATAACAGGCAATATGCATGCGACACCTAATTGGTCGATTTTTTTTTGTATATTTTATTACTGTAAAAACATACCTATAGAGATTTTTTAATATATTTAGTGGTAAAATGTAATAATTAAAAAGGGTATTTTTTAATCCCTCGCCAAGTTATAACATGCAATGTTATTGGCTGAAGTAAATTATAGGTGTATTTAATCACTCGACTTATTAAATTTTGATAACTCGGAGAACCAATTAAATACTTTGTTGTTTGACAACATCACAACATTCCAGCCCACTCCGGCCGCATTTTAGTCTGATGTAAATGATTGAGATTTTTTTTAATGGTTACTTTATTTTCATGTCAATTTTTTTTTTTGGTTTTCTTATGACAAGTAGAATGTTAAAAAAAAATATACAGGCATAGGTATAAATTAGTATAAGTCAGTGTATATCTGTAACACTAGTAAAAAACCACTGTGGTTTATTTAACTTTTATATTGTAAAACTATTTATAAGCTGATATTGTACTTCTAAAAGTCTAGCCTAAATTAGAAATAAATGTGCCAAAACTTGGACGATGATGGAGTTAGTGATAATCTTTCTGTATTCAGACATATACAATTAAAATATTAAATATAAAATCTTTGTTTTAATAATACCTGCTTTGTATCATCAGATATTCTTGAATTGGCAAAACTGATACTGGAACAGAAGACAGCTGCCCAGGCACACCATTTGAGTCTCATCATTAAGCCGCACATTGAAAAAACCATCCCTGACAAAAAAAATGTTTTCTATATTATTTAATTTAATAATAGTAATCCACCCATGCCACATAAACCTTGGTGGCAAAGGCTCATTTTCTGTCATATCCATACCCATTTAATGCAAATAATCAATAGTTTCCAATTAGTACATCATACATATATAGATTTCTGGTGCACAACATTTTTAAGTAGAAATAAATAAGATGTAGAAATAGAAATGTTGAATGTCTACATCTACCTGTAGAAGCTTGGTCTAGGATCCCAGTTTGTTGCTTTGGAAATCCCAGGATCCACATAAGTAACATTCGCAACTAATATGTGTACAATGGTGCATACCAAGAATATTCATGTAATCCGTAGTCAGGTCCTCTGCCGGAGCCGAATTTGGCGGTGGAGGCTTGAAACGGCGTTCACGGTCAGCACGTCTGGGATCTGAAGTTAACTGCATCTGGAACAAATTTAATCATCTCTATAGATTACAATGAACAGGAAATTATTATGCATACAAAAGTGCCATGGCCACTTACTTTTTGTGGTTTTATTACTGGGCCACAAATTATTAAATCTTTTCAACACTTATTGGTAGCAATACTTTTCGAATCCGTATCTAACAGGCAACTACTACGGCAGAGTGAAATTTATGATTATTCCAGATAAATGTAATTTAACTTCGACATTTAACGAATTTGATTAGAAATCTTAAAGTAAAGCAATTGTCACTTGACACACGTCAAACTTTCCTGTCAGGTGGCAGCTGTCACGGTCAAAGTTAAAGTTCGTTCAGAAAAAGACTTCGATCGGGACTTAAAGATTCTTGACATGATATTATTATTACTTATGAATTGGTTTTTGATGTTATTTTAATAAACAGACTTAGTTTTTAAAATTTCGTGCGAAGTTTAATTACAATTTTATGTAGAGGAACTTACATCCGCACATGGAAGACTGGATGCATCATCGACATAATATGACGCGAAAGTCAGTGCACTGCTTTTTACGGAAAGCATTGGGGGAAAAGTCAATATCCGACAATGTGGAAATAAAGGCTGATGATGACATATGATCGATTTGAAACATTATGCATACTGTAAACATACATTTAAAAACTAACACGAAGAGTTTTGTTCTCATATTGGCTCGACTTTTGTTTTAGTAGCAAAGGCAATTAATATTTAATTTGCACGTTCTATACGGGTATAACAGCTAATTTTCATAATTATTTTATATTTATATTAGAATAAACAAGTTTTTTTTCTTCCTCAAACCTTAGTAAACCAGGTTACATTTAATATAGGAAACTACGAGTATAGTTAAAACTGAATGGCTGTTAATGCCTTTTTAAAAAGAAAACCTTTGCATAACTGTCTTGCCCATCCTTATGCTAACCATACGAAAGTCCAATAATTTGGCTTGTTGAATAAATGAAATAACTATAAATCTATATTAATCACAGTATATAGATTTGGCTTAAACGATAGATTTGAGGACCATAACCTCTGTAAATCTTTGATCTTTGTCTTAAGAAACACCTGCACAACCACTTATATAACTTAGAACATATTTGTCTTCCTTGAAATGCTATATTGTTAAAATTAGTCTCCACTCTGTTGTATATTGAATGCCTATGGATAAGCATTTCTTCTCGTAGGGTTTCTTAAGGGCATATGTTATATATCTATAGAAATTACATTCATTGATATTATTTAAGAATGGAATCATTGACAAAGTCCCAGTGAAGGATCAAATCCGTTTGGCCGTCTCTCAGGCTTAAGTATGGGTTTTTCAAGAAATATACGTACAAATCCATGACTATATAATGAATACATTGGGAAAATATTACTTATGATAATGTTGTAATTATGTAAAACACACCAATTAAGGCAAGTGGCCGTTAAAGGGCAACACTGATGGGGAGTCTCGGGGCTGCCATTGGCCGGCGCGCACGCCCACCGCCGCGGGCCTCGTGCCGTGAAGCCTCGCCCCGCGTTTACACGTGAAATCTAAAATAACACAAGCATATAACTAATGTGTTTTATTATTTCAACTGCTTATACATGATTTGCTACATTATGCCACTTTTGCGTGTTTTTTTCTTGGTTACCAATTTCCTTTGTATTATACAAAATGTGGACTGTCACATTCTCTACTTTAGATGTAGAACTAAAAAAAAAACAAATTGAAGTAGTCTATGAGTTCTTCTAGAGTATCCTCTATATCTATTCCAGATATTATCGAAATAGGTTCAGCTGTTTAGGCTACAAACTCTAACAAACATCCATCCATGCATCTATCTAAACTTTCTTATTTATAATATTAGTATGAAGTACGACTAGTATGATTTATTATACATCTTCTACATGAATACATGCATTTAGTATACATGCTTTTCTATAAACTCAAAGTATTTGCTATGAATGTTTTAGCATCAAAATGTTGAGGCGCAACCATGTCGTACACCTATTGTAAGTCCACGAACAAAGCAATAATAACTTAATTAACTGTGTAATCAACAAACACGGCATTGAGGTATGGGACAAAGCAGGAGTCGTACATAATTATGGTAGGTCAGTAATTACAAACCGTTTGCAAACCGATGCTATAATGTGCAGATGTATATATATAACTTTAAACTGTCGTGGTTTTTACAAATATAATGTTCGTAAGATACGGGTTTCTTACCAAGATTGAATTGTTTTAACTCCCGATATTTCGGCACAGTTGCATGCGCCATGTTCACGGGCTGACTGAAGTGATGCGGTAGTGTGAAAAAAAAAAAACTTGGTAAGCTTTGTATTAAAATCCTTGAATTTTCGTAACAAGAACATAAGTATTTACTGTTATTAGTTCGCGATGTGAGTAGAAAGCTCTTCTTAAAAGAAAACGGATTAAAACATTTTTAATGAGGCAAAACATTCCATTCAAAATTAAGTACCTATGTGAATAGTTGAATTCAAACTAAGAAAGGTCTAAACTAAAATACATAACCTAAAGAACATCCTTATGATTCGGCAATTTGCAAACATAATCGGTGCGTCCGATTCGGACATGATTGTAGCAAAATTAAGTCGAAATTAGTTGGTGCGGCTAATTTTATTAGCGATTTGATTTAATAAATGTAATTACGCAGATCTGTGTAGTGCTTAAGACAATGCTTGGGTGTTATTTGGAGATGTTTATTATTTAAATGGTTGTTTCGGGCGGGCGGGCGCGCTAAGTATAGACGATAGGGGCTGGTAATTCGGTAATGAACGGTTGCAAGTTCACGAATCAAGGTCATTCGGAACATTCAGAGATAATTTCGTCTAAGCGTCGATCGATGGCGACTCTATGTCGGAGACGATACAGCAGTATTAAAGTCCATACAATTATCTAATTCATATAGTGTATGAATCATAGTTATTTTACTTCGGAATGATGCTGTAGCTATTACTAATTACATAAAGTAAATACATAATCGATGCCTTCGGCGCGGCATTGACTTAAAACTTAAAACAATTTAATGACTTTTAAGAAAATTATTAGGTTACATTATTCCATAAATAACTTGAAATGTCGAACATAACAACAGTCCTATAAATAAACGTTTTTAACCGACAATTCTCGAATATCTCACCCGTTCAAAACTCATTGTTAAATCGCCTAAAAATTAACTTTTCAAGAATACATGTCACGTGCTCTTATAGAAATCTTTGCGGGGCGGAGTCCTTTACTCGACAATGTGTTCCCGGAGTGCGCAAGGAGCTATAATTCCAGGGCGCGAGTCCGACTTCCGGAGCCCGCTGGTCCACAAATTGCCTAAGAAAGGGTCACCGTGCGCCACCATTGTCAACCGATTCTAGCACAAAACAGTTAACAACATGTAGCCGATCCACTCTTTGTCCTGTTACGCACTCCTTAATTATGTCGAACAGTGAAAGGGTCATATTTTCTATTAAATTTGTACAATAAATATATGGTGTTCCTTTTATCAAATGTCATATAAAATAAAGTTAACTTAACTATAAAATTATTGTTTTAATTAAAAAGTAAAATGTAAATAATATGGACGTAAAAATCTATTATACCATCAACGGTCTATTGTTAGTTATATATTATTAAGTATAATGACGGCTTTAAACTTACGTTTGAGAACCTAACGCTTCACCATAGTTTTGACCTCAATGCGAAATTGTATTATTTTAGTTGTTATAAGGAATATATTGCCCATTAGCCATACCTATCGTCATGACCAGAATGTGAATACAATTTCCAATAACTAGTTGTACCTATATCTTTGCGCAGTCATGTATTGTAGCTTTATAATCCAATTATTTCATGGGAAAAATTAAAGGCAAACGTGTCAGGCTTATTGTTAATGTTTAACTCTTTTACAGATTGCATCTGGGAGATGATTTCTGTATTTTTCTGTTGTAACACTTGTTGAGTTCTATTGAGTTTTTCATCACCCTGTAGCATGACTCATGTGGCTGCTGACGAGTGCAGCGCCATTGTTCCATCGCGAGCAGATTACTATAATCATTGCGCACGTAATGTGGTAAATGATAAGGTGTGCGCCAGCGCTCAAAACATATGCTTTTGTAACTCATTCGTTCCAGTAGGGCACGCTTGGAACCCCAAGCTAACTCTCGTAAATAGCCCCCGTGCTTTGTATCGCCGGTCACTGTTATAGCTACATATTTGCATACGGTTTCTGTCTTGAAGATCTAACGTGCAACATAAATCAAGCGCTCATGTTACGCGTAAAGTTCTCATGTTACAATTACAATGAGAGTAAGTAAGCGCTTAAGGCAGAATCTCTAGGTTCCGTTATTATATAGAGAAATGATTTGTATTAAAATAACTCAAAAACTATTAGGCCGATTTCAAAAATTTCACTTTAATAAAGCTCAGTTATTAGTGAGTAACAAAAGCTGTATTTTTTAATTTCACTCGGACGAAGTCCCGAACAACAGACAATCAAACATAACCATGTAGAATGTTTTTTTGTCTTAGTAATACCTAAAGCCTGTTACATACCTTTAGTTTTAACTGAATAGTCCGACTGTACCTACTGTTAAAACTTACGCGTGTAGGTAGATGTAGGCTTTATAAACAAAAACGTTCAAACTTGTTTCCTTTTATTGAAATTCATTCAATACATAGACATATTTTTCAACCACAGTATAAAGTACGGCAAAATCGAAAAGCACATGTTATTACGCAAATTACTTTAAATTACAGGCTTCGCATAATTAGACGACATTCTCAACTGTCGTGTATCTATGTGCTTTCGCCCACACAGACCAATGCAAACAGACTAATGCAAACATAGGAGTATACAACTAAACTTTGCAACTAATGGCCAAATACTGAAACTTAATTTAAAAATGGCATGTGATAAAGCCAAAGTCCAAATTCCTTTTTTTTTGGTTTTACAAAACGAATTGTTCAAGATTCGTTTCAGCATTTGGCTGTAAGTGAACTAAACTACGAGTATATAAAGTTAATAAAATTCAATATCGTGTTTAGACAATTCAGGTGTTCATGGATACTTGTATATGTATGTAAGTATTTACTAAGAGATACTTTAGAAGATATCTACTGCTGATTACAAGTTTCACGATTGCAATTAAGTTCTAAGGTCTCAAATTGTAAGAGAAAAGTACATCATCGCACCCTTATTCCACTATTACTTTTGTACCTGATATTAGCGATGTCTGCCGCCTTTTCACGAGCGTCGTGCCGTATTCCTCATT